GCCAGACTGGATCTGTCCTGGCCAGCCAGGTATACACCAGGTGCTCAGTTGATGCTTGTGGCGTGGACAAGAGGGAAGCCATTGGGAGGGGACTACCTGTGGCCGTGGTGGTGATGGTGGTGGTGGCGGTGGTGGTGGTGGTGGTGGTGGTAAGAGGCATTAAGGAAGGTCCTGAGTTAGGCCCTCACAGACAGGGAGCAACAGAGGCTGTTCTGGGCAGGAAGAGCATGGTCAGAGGAGAGATCTCTGGGGCCCTGAATGCCAAGGATAGAAAGAATTTGGATTTCCTACCCAGGGTACTTGGAAGCCACACGGAGTATGGGACCGAGAGGGGTGTAGACAGCGCATGGACGGGTGGGAAGGCCTACACTCCCCTTGCCCCGGACAGCTCCTGCTCCCCGTGGCTTGGTCTGCTGAACCTGGAGAGCATTCCTGGGGAGGTACCCGACAGCTGCCTGGACTGAGTGTGACGTGGACATGAGGAGGCAGGATAGGGAGCCTGAGAAAAATCAGTAGCGAGAGAGACGAGCAGGATAGGGCTACGCACTAGGCAGCCGCATGCCCCCTCTACCTCAGTCTCCCTTCTCAGATACGTGATCTGGTGGCAGCCTCAGCACTGGGCCGGGTACCAAAGTGTCACGTTGCCTGTGAAGGGGCCGCCCTCAGAGTGATGTTGACCCTGACTTACTGGGACTGTCATGAGAAGAGGGAAGCATTAATTTACTGCCTACTGTATGAGACCTTTCTCCTTCCGTAGTGAACATGAGGTTCTGTACCCCTACTCCCCCGCCCCCCAAGCCAGGGAACCGTCACTTTTGGTGCTTCCAGTTCTTCCCATTTTCACGAGGGATTGTGTAGATGGGGAAACAGAGGCCAGGAAGTTAGCCTGAGGCTGTATTTACGTATAATTCCTGTAATCCTCTTGTCAGCCTGTTTCCCTCCCATTTCATAGCTGAAAAGATTTGCAAAATCACATCAAGCCTCGGATTCCGGACTGTAGCCAGGCTGGAGGTCTTTTCAGTCAGACTGACAGGCAGAGCCTGGCCTGTCAGAGGCCCTAACTCAGTTTGCCAAACAGCCCCTCTGTGCCAGCCCAGGCCTGGGCGGTGCTGGAAACCCGAGGAGCCCCAAGCTTGGGGGAGACAAAAGCCGGGAGACCCAAGGGAAGGCTTCCTGGAGGAGGGGGCGCTAGGTTTTGCCAGACACGAAGGGTGTTCCCAAGAGGGGAGCCAGCGTAGGCGAGGTGGCATGGGCCCCGCCTGGCCGCCGGCTGCGCCGCGGGGGTCGCACCGAGCCGAAGGGTTTCGCGCCGCTGGAGAGAAGGGAAGGGCGGGCGGCGATCGGAGTTACCGTACATTTTATGGGGAAGAAGGAGCCATGTTCCCAGGCCCAGCCTCTGAGAACCGCCAACGCCCCGCCCCCACCGCTCCCGCCCTAGCAACGGCCGGACCTGTCCGCGCAGAGGCCCCGGCAACGCCCCGCCCCCCCGCCCGCGGCCCTCGCAACGCCCCGCCCCTCCGCCCGCGGCCCTCGCAACGCCCCGCCCCCGCCCTGGCAACGCCCCGCCCACTCAGCTGCACGCGGGGGCCCGCGGCGCCGCTTCCGCCTCGCTCGCCCCGCCCCTGACAGGTCCCGTTGGGCGGGGTCCCCGGGCGCGCGCTTCCTCCCCGCCACCCAGCCCACCCCACCCACCCGGCCCCGGGGGCCCCCGCCTCCCCACCCTGTGCCTATGCCCTCCCCGCGCCGCCGGGCTCCGGGCGCCGATCCCGCCGCGGAGGCTGGCCCCCGGCCGCCGCCGGCTGCGCCCACGCGCCTCCCGGGCCTCGGGCGGCACAAAGGGAAGCGGCAGCATGTCTGACCCCAGCTACTGGACGGCGGTGGCGGCGCCCGGCCACCGGAGCCGCCTGGCCAAGGGCGCGCTGCTGCAGCGCTCCAAGAGGTAGGGACCCGCGGGGCGGGGCGCGGCGGAGGCCGGATGGACACACCGGTTGCCGGGAGTGTGTCTGGGCGACGGGAGGGGGACGGAGAAGGGCGCTCTGGGACCCAGGCATCCGCAGGTGTCCCCGACACCCTTCTGGGGCGAGTGTGTTGTGCCAGTCCGGGTCGCAGCCGGGGTCCGAAAGAGGCAGCCGTGAATTGAGACAGGATTCGAACCCAGGGCTCTAGTCCCGGGCCGAACCCGGGGGGAGGTGCTTCTTGGAAAAACTGACGCCGCCGATCTCCCCGATCTCTCTCTCTCCGTGGGGCCCAGCTAGAAATGGTGATTCACAAACAAACATTTGCAGCACGCGGCTGGCGAGCGTGTGTCAGGAGCGCCGATAGCGGGGTTTACCCTGGAACAAAGCCCGGCCCGGCTTGGGAGTCTCAGTTTCCCCTTCTAAAAGCCAGAGGCCAAGCGAGGTTCTGTGGGCTCTCCCGGACCTGGACTCAGACGCCAGCTCCGCCACCGCCAGGCTGTGTGACCTCAACCCGTTCCTTTATCTCTCTGTGCCTGGGTGTCTCCTGGTGCTGGGATGGGACATTGCCCAAAGGGGCGGACAGGCGGAGGCCGGGCGGGGGAATCTTGAATGCCAAGTCCAAGGATTTAGGCTCTTCTCCCAGACCCCAGAGAGCCACAGAGGGCTTATGAGCACCTGGGGCGGGGATTGGGTGCAGGAACTAGCCTCAGGCCCCTGTTTTCCCCCCATATTCTCATTCTGTTGGACCACATGGGTGGTGATTGGACTTCAGGGTCCTGGGCCCTCTCCCGGGAGGGCCGTGCAAATGCTCAGCACTCAACAGACGCTCAGAAAGTGAGCAGACCGGGCCCACTTCCCCCCTGACATCTCCCATCAGGCTGTTTTCAAGAAGACCCCGCCTGAGAGGAAGCGGTAGGCTGCCAAGTATTTTTCCCAAATGCTGTGGAAAGTGACAAATGATGGGAGTGGAGGGGGGGGGGTGTGAGGAACCAGGTGAGGGGCAGGGAGAGGATGTGGGACTGGTTTGTGTGTGTGGGTGGGGGGTGGGCAGGAAGTTTTGCAGGAACCTGCGGGTTTCACTTTTGCTTCGGCGCCTCAGTCTAGAAGACAATCCCTGCGGCTGTTGATCTGTAGCCTCAGTTTCCCAGGCTGGGAAATGGGTACATTTGGCCTCTCCCACCTCCCGGCCTGTTGGAATTGACACAGGGTGACTTAATTATCCGGGGAGGCATGGCCTGCACCCTGTCAATACACCAGGCTCTCCCTGCAAGCCAACAGGACGACATGTACCCACCACCATTTACCCAGCGCCGGCCCAAAGCTGAGCTTGGTGTGTTGGTTTTTATCAAATCTTCCCAGCAGGTGAGGAAACTGAGGCTCAGAGGAACAGCTGTGAGCAGGCTGGATCCAAACACCAACCCCCACCCACGCCTTCCTTGTCTCCTGGATCAGTGGCTGACCACGCTTCCCCACACCTCCTCCCGCCCTGCGCCTTCTCCCTGGGACCGTGTTCCTGGGCCCGTGGAGCGGAGGCTTCTCTCCCTCCCCGTGCAGAGTGCTGTGGCTGCGCTGCGTTGGCAGCTGGGGTGTGTGGGCTGATGCACTTGCTGAACAAGTAGGGCTGTTGCTGGGCGACTGATCTGAGAGAGTTGGGGGTGGGGGGGTTGGTGGCTGGAGACTATGTGGTTCCCAACTTCCCTCCGTCAGTGGGCGCTGGGGCCAGGGCACGAGGTACGGGTGGGCTCAGCCTGAGCGGGGGGCTGGCGGCCAGGGGAGCTGGGATGGAAGGAAGGAAGGAAATGTGTTGGCAGAACAGAAGACAGGGCACACCTGCACAAGATCCTGACTCTACGTTTTTGTTTTGTTTGTTTTAAATATTTTTTATTGAGCCGGCACCGCGTTGGCTCCGTGGATAGAGCGTCCGCCTGCGAGCTGAAAGGTCCTGGGTTTGATTCCGGTCAAGGGCATGGACCTTGGTTGCGGGCACATCCCCAGTGGGGGGGGGTGCAAGAGGCAGCTGATCCATGATTCTCTCTCATCGATGTTTCTAACTCTCTGTCCATCTCAATTCCTCAATAAAATATATTTTTTTAAAAATAAATATTTTTTTTATTGATTTCAGAGAGGAAGAGAGAGGGAGGGAAAGAGAGAAACATCAATAATGAGAGAGAATCATGGATCGGCTGCCTCCTACACGCCCCACACTGGCATGTGCCCTAACCGGGAATCAAACCATTACCTCCTAGTTCATAGATGGATCCTCAACCCCTGAGCTGTGGCGGCCCAGTGACGTTAGGGTTTTTAAGGGTCAGGCTGGCATTTGGGGGGATTTGGGGGAGGAATGTTGCCAAGGGATGGGACAGTGGCCTGGGAAAAGTGCATGGAATGGGGTAGGGGCGCCCCTTAACCCACTGGTGGGCTCCCGGGTCCTTTCCACCCTCTGCCTTAGTCCCCGGAGCCCCTGGCAGTGGCCACAGTGTGGGAAAGGGGTGGAGGTGGGGTGTGGACACCAACGCCTGGAACATTAGGCTGGCTGCTCCTGGCTGTGTGCAGTGACCACCAGGAGGCCGGAAGTGCTTTGTGCCACCACTGATAATAACCGAAATAGCACATTTAGTACAAACAATATTTGTCTGCCCTGGCCAGTGTGGCTCAGTGGATAGAGCATCGGCCTGGGGATTGAAGGGTCCCGGGTTCTATTCGGGTCAAATGCATGTGCCTTGGTTGCGGGCACATCCCCAGTGGGGAGTGTGCAGGAGGCAGTTGATCGATGTTTCTCTCTCATCGATGTTTCTAACTCTCTATCCGTCTCCCTTCCTCTCTCTAAAAAAATCAATAAAATATATTTAAAAAATAATATTTGTCAAATACAACCCACTGGGCCTCCAACCAAGGGCCACGGGGAGTCAGTCAGGGGTGGAACGGGAGTGGTCGTGCCCAGTTTCCTATCCGGCCCCAAAAGCCAGCTGCCTGGGTGCTCCAGCCTGGGCGTGGGAGCCGAGGCCTGGGCAGCGCCTAACCCGTCCCCACCTGCCCCTGCAGCTGCCGCAGCGGGAACCGCAAGAGCCTCGTGGTGGGAACACCCTCGCCGACCCTCTCCAGGCCCCTGTCGCCGCTGTCCGTCCCCACTGGTGAGCGCGGGAGCCAGCGGGCGGGCTGCGTCCTCCCTCCACCCCCGGTGACTCAGTTTCCCCTGGCCTCCTGATCAGCAGGTAACAGCCCCCTGGACAGTCCCCGGAACTTCTCAGCTGTGTCAGCGGTCAACTTCCCCTTTGCCCGGAGGTGAGTGGTCCCTGCTCCGGGGGATGGTGTCCTCGTGACGGCGGAGGGGACAGGCAGGGTGTGTGCGCCTGGCGGACGTGCCTCCTCACCGGCCTTTTCCCTCCCCGGCCGGCCCTGTGTCGGTCCCTCCCTCTGTCTCTGCCCCTGCCTCGGTCCTCTGCAGCCACATCTCTCGGACAGACAGGTAACGTGAACCAGCGCTAGGGGTGGGGGTGAGAGGGGACTCCACTGGGTCCAAGAAATACTGAGTGGAAGCCATTTGCTCATTTAATAGGAGTTTATTAACAAGCGTTCGTGGAGGGCCTGTTTGTGTGCCAGGCATTTTTTTTTATTTTTTAACCTACAGGTTGATTTTAGGGGAGTGGGGGGAAGAAACATCAATTTGTTGTTCCACTTACTTGTGCATTCCTTGGTTGCTGCTTGTACGTGCGCCCTGACTGGGGATTGAACCCGCAATCTTGGCGGATCGGTACGACGCTCTAACACACTGAGCTACCCCAGCCAGGGCCCGTGTGCCAGGCTCTTACATGTCACTTATCCATTCAGCATTTATTGAGGCTGGGGAATGGGGGACTGACCTTTGGCTTTTGGGGAGTCCTCAGTCTGGTGGAGGCAGCCAGCATGTACCTTAGCAGGTGCAACTCCGAGAGGTGGCAGCTTTGCCAGGGGCAGGGGGGGCGGGGGGCACTGGCTGCTGGGGTCAGGGAGGACTCCTGGAGGAGGTGTCTGAAGGACGAGGGAGAAACACTGGACTTGCCACCCTGACTTTCCGCTCTCCGCCTCACAGAGTCCTTCCCCCCGTGGGGCCAGAATCTGGCAGCCACGGTGTTTGCCCTGGGTCCCCCCCAGACCCCAGGGGCCCTGTCTTCCTTCCAATTCTGCTTCTCCTTTCCAGGGCCGATGGCAGAAGGTGGTCCCTCGCATCCCTCCCGTCTTCTGGCTATGGCACCAACACTCCCAGCTCCACCGTCTCGGTACCTACCGTCCCACCGTGGTGGGCGGACAGGCGGGTGCAGGGGTGGAGGGGGCACCTCTGTGTTTCACAAGGGGTCAGACAGCTGCGCAGTTAGCGGGTTCCTGCCGCTGCCTCTGTGCTGTGTTCTGGGTGATGTGGGGACCCTGAGAGGACCCGGCCTTAGCCCTGGAGCCCCCCCCCCCGGCACACAGATTTTCCCGGGGCCTGGCCAGAGCGGGTCTGGGCTGCCGTAGGGAATAGGCAGAGAGGACTTCTTGGAGGAGGGGGCATTAGGGCTGGGGCATTCAGGGATCGGAGCCAGGCATTCTGGGCCCTGAGAGGTAGTGCTGGGGTCCTGGCTGCGGGGCTGACCACCTGCCCGTGACTCTGCCGCCCTCCTCCCAGTCGAGCTCATCCTCCCGGGAGCACCTCCACCAGCTTCCTTTCCAGCCGACGCCAGACGAGCTGCGCTTCCTGTCCAAGCATTTCCGCAGCTCGGAGAGCGTGGCCGACGAGGAGGGGGGCCACCGCTCACCCCGCCTTCGACCCCGCTCCCGGAGCCTCAGGTGGGCTTTGACCTCTGGCCCCCGCGCCTCCCTCCTGGCCTTGGCCCTGTCCCAGCCTGGCTCCGCCCCCTTCCCCCCGGCTGGGTCCCGGGTCCTGTGTCACAAGCTGACCGTCACCCCCCTTCAGCCCCGGACGCACCACAGGAACCTTCGACAATGAGATCGTCATGATGAACCATGTGTACCGGGAGAGGTTCCCAAAGGTGGGCAGCACCCTGGGCTGGACGGGCCCCAACCCCCCTCTGTGACAGACGGGCATCCTCTGTCTCGGCTGTGTCCCCACATCTGTCCTTGTCTGTTTTCCCCTCCGGGTCTCAGACGTCCCCCCGGTCCTCCGACCCCCTCAGCCTCATCACCTCTCTTCCCACTGTCCCCCCCGCCCTCCGTCTGCGTGTCCTGTTCCCCAGTCCCGCCCAATGACCAGGTCACCCGTCTCCCCCCGCCAGGCCACGGCCCAGATGGAGAGCCGTCTGCAGGAGTTCCTCACCGCCTTCGCGCCCGGGGCCCAGCTGGCACTGGCCGATGGCGTCCTGGGCTTCATCCACCACCAGATCGTTGAGCTGGCCCGCGACTGCCTGGCCAAGTCCGGAGAGGCCCTCGTCACCTCCCGCTACTTCCTGGAGATGCAGGAGAAGCTGGAGAGGCTGCTGCAGGATGTGTGTGGGGAGCTGGGGGCCGGGGGTCCCCGGGAGGGGCCGGACAGGACAAGGGCCCGTGAGTGACGCCCCGCCCACCTGCCAGGCCCACGAGCGCTCGGACAGCGAGGAGGTCGGCTTCATCGTTCAGCTGGTCCGGAAGCTGCTGATCATCATCTCACGACCAGCCAGGCTGCTGGAGTGCCTCGTGAGTCCCCTCCGTGCAGAGGGCTAGCCGAGCTCAGACCGGGTCCCCGAGAGACAGGACCCGGTTCTCACTGGGCAGGCCTGTGAGGCTGCCGGCCTGGGGTGGGTCCCGGTAGGAGGGGACCCCAGGGGCAGGCCGGAGCCACAGGACAGAGAAAGCGTCTGCAAAGGCCTGGAGGGGAGACCGAGCCTTGGCCAACCGGAGCTCTGCACCCCCAGGAGTTTGACCCCGAAGAATTCTACCACCTGCTGGAGGCCGCCGAGGGCCAGGCTCGCGAGGGCCAGGGCATCAAGACGGACCTGCCGCAGTACATCATCGGGCAGCTGGGCCTGGCCAAGGACCCCCTGGAGGGTGAGCTGGCGGGCAGGGAGGCGAAGGAGACGGAGGGGAGGCTGGTATAGTCCTGCTATCCTTGTCTCTCTGTTTCCTGCCTTTGGTCACCTATGGGACCCGCTGTGGGGAAAGGGCCCGAGATTCCAGGGTCAGGCAGCTGCACATGGGGCCCCCTAACCTTCCAGGGCAGGGGTCGGCAAACTGCAGCTCGAGAGCCACACGCAGCTTCACTGCCTGGGCAAATCTATTTTGAAGAAGTGGTTTTTGAAAAAATTTAAGTTTAAAAAATGTGGCTCTCAAAAGAAATTTCAATCGTTGAACTGTGGATATTTGGCTCTGTGGACTAATGAGTTTGCCGATCACTGTTCCAGGGCCTTGGGACCCCTGTGTTCTCAAACGCAGAGTTGAAATGGGCCAGGGCACCAGGGACCGCCCCTGGCACTGACATTCATATCGTCCTGCAAGTTCTCAAAGCCTGGCGTGGGCTCCGAGTCTGTTCAGGCCACCTGCAGACGAGAACTCCCCCACACAGGGGAGGGGAGCCAGGCCAGGGGAGCCAAGATGGAACGGGGGTGGCCTGTCCTGGGTGGTGAGGGCAGGCTGGGAAGAGGTGATGTGCGGGCTGAGGATGGAGAGGTGACCAGATGCAGATCTGGGAGGAGAAAAGGGGGAGCTAGCCAGGGGAACCACGAAGGCCCTGAGGTGGGATGCTGCCCGGCATGTCGGAGAGCAGCGGAGAGGATGTTGCTGAGGGAAGGGGAGCTGGCTGGAGGCGAGGGGGTTGGCAGGGCCTGGTGTCAGTGGCCCGTGTTCGCCTAGCGTTACAGCTGTGCTAACGTGGGACTGAGCTGCCACTGTCCCCTTTTAGAGCTGGAAAGACTGAGGCTCTAGGCAGAGGAGGTAGAGCAGGGGATCAGGCACAGGTGTGCCCGAGGCCAGACCCCTGGTGGACGGGGCTTGTGGACAGCTGGCTTCCTGTCTGTCCAGTGGAAATAGCTCAGGTAGCGCTGGGGGTGGGCCTGCCTTCAGAGGGTGTAGGAAGTGGTGAGGCAGATGGCGGCGGAGGCTGTGGGGGCAGAACACCTCTCCAGTACCTTGGGGGGCCACTGAGAGTGGAGCCAGGCCTCTCTCACCCTTGAGTCCCCACCGCCCCATTCCAGACGAACTCTGAAACCGTGAGACTTCATTGCCACAGTCACAGCTCACAGTCCGCGGACCGTGACCAGCCCTTTGCCAGGACCTGGGGCGGGACTCTACGGGGGCTCCTCCCCCTTGGCCACGCCCTGAGCTGGGAGGTTTTCAGGAGCTGGTGTCACAACTGGTGTCACTGGTCCAAAGTTTGGAGCCAGGGATTGATGAAAGCTGAGTATCTGGAGCTTGGGCTGCCTGCTGGTCCTTCTAGACAGTTCCTCCGCTGTTTAGTCCGGCCTCCTGAGCTTCGCTCAGACTTGGACACGGTAAAGGCCCATTGGCAGTATCATGGGGGTTGGGCAGAGGAGACCCCCCCATCCCTAGCCCCAGATGAGCCTTGGGGGCCTCGGAAATCTGGGTGACGTGCAAGGTGTAGAAGCCCCGTTCAAGGCTCCTCCCTTGTCTTGCAGAGATGGAACCTCTGAGTCACCTTGATGGCAAAGGACAGCCCCCCGCGCCCGAGTCCCTGGAGGTGAGGCACAGAGCTTTGGGTCCCTGCACCTGTCTTGTTCTTTCCAGGCAGCTGTGGGAGGGGCTGGGTTTGCAGAAGTTTTTGCATGACTGGTGATTAATAAATGCCTGTGACTATGAGGGGAAGGTGGGGGAAGTTGGGTTGCTGTGCTGTGTAGGTTGGGCAGGGCTGGAGGGAGGCACTGGAAAGGTTTTGAAGGATGTGTAGGAGTTCTCTGGGAAAAGGGCACATCTTGAGCCAAAGCTCAGAAACGTGGTCCCTGAGTCGGAGAAGTTCAGATGGGAGAGAAAGTGGCATCAGGCACCAGGAGGACTTGGGGGCCAGGAAAGCCCAAACCACTCCTCAGGTGGCCAGGACCCTGAGCCCTTCTCGTCCCACAGAGCCGCGCCCTGGTCGGCCCATCACGGAGGAAGCCATGTGAAAGTGACTTCGAGACCATCAAGCTCATTAGCAACGGGGCCTATGGGTGAGTCCTCAGGTTCCCCGTACACCCATTTCTCAGATGCCCACAGAGATGGCTAAGGCTCAGGCAGGGGAAACAGGGGCCTACAGAGGGAGATGGAGATGCAATAACACAGCAGGCATGGCCTTGAAGGCACTCATCCTTCATCAGGTATAGGGGGCTCTGGTCAGGAAAGAAGATGACCACACGGTGGCAGTAGCGTGCAGCAAGCATTATTTGCCGCTTGGACAGATTTGCAGAGGGTGGGAGTGGGGAGTCCCTGACAGCATGAGGCCATCAGAGCGAGATAGATGGGAGAGGAGGCCAGTGGCCAGGTGTGGAGTCTTTGGGTCAGAGAGCCCCAAAGGGCAGCATCAGCATGTGTAGGTTCCCTATATTTATCTGTGTCCGGGAGCCGCTGGGTACAGTTTCATCAAGCATATAAAGCCAGCAGGCGCTCCATGGCTAACGACGTGCTCATTTGGATTCTGTGTCCTGGGTCTCAGCTACGAATGAATAAATACTCTAAGGTAAGGTGACCAGACCTCCTGCTTTTGGCGGGACAGCCCCGGTTTTCAGTAATTTGTCCCGCGGCATTTTAAAAAAGTTTTTAAAAGACTTTTTTAAAATGCCGCGGGACAAATTGTTGAAAATCGGGACGTCTGGTCACCTTAATCCAAGGGCCAGTACACCAGGGCCACGTCCGGTTCATTTGTAGGACACCAAGGAGGGCGGCTTACTCCTAGGGTGGCTGCTTGGGGAGAGGGGCCGGGGTGGAGACAGGTGTCCCAGACGGAGAGCCCAGCACAGACCAAGGCCCTCAGACCGGGTAGAGGCCCAGGCTGGCTCCCCGTGGCCGCCGGGGCCGCGTGCGCAGGCCTCAGCAGCCCGGCCTCCCTCCAGGGCCGTCTACCTGGTGCGGCATCGGGACACCCGCCAGCGCTTCGCCATCAAGAAGATCAACAAGCAGAACCTGATCCTGCGCAACCAGATCCAGCAGGTCTTCGTGGAGCGTGACATCCTCACCTTCGCCGAGAACCCCTTCGTGGTCAGCATGTTCTGCTCCTTTGAGACCCGGCGCCACCTCTGCATGGTCATGGAGTACGTGGAAGGTGCGGTCCCCGGGCTGCCTGGGAGGAAGCCCTTCCTCGGGCCGGGCTGGGATCTGTTCCGTCCTCCGGGGGTCCCAGCCTGCCTCGGGGGCCCTCGGTCTAAGATGGGGCATCAGGGCAGGGGGAGCCCAAAGAAGAGGGTCAGGGAGGGACCCCTGGAGAATGGGGGGAAGATGTACATCCTTGCAGGGGGGGACTGGTGGACAGAGGCCTGAAGGCTGGGGGAACGGGTGAGGGTCAGGGTGAGGAGTTTCGGCTTCAGGTTTGCAGTTCAGGATGGAGCAGTCCCTGCAGGAAAGTGAGTGAACAGGCACCAAGGTGCTGCCAGGCAAGGAGAGAGCATGCACTTCGGGGTGCCCGCTGTGTACGGGGGAAAAACTGTGCACTTGACAGAGCTGCTCCTCTGTCCCGGGAAAATCAGAAGGCAGGGTCTGTCCTCCCCAAACCCCACCCGGTTCAGCACCTACTGGGGACCCTTAGACAGAGGCGCCGGGCAGGGCTGTAGAGACCACGCCTCTGACATGGCTGCCCCTTGCAGGCGGGGACTGTGCCACGCTCCTGAAGAACATGGGCCCGCTGCCCGTGGACATGGCCCGCATGTACTTCGCAGAGACGGTGCTGGCGCTGGAGTACCTGCACAACTACGGCATCGTGCACAGAGACCTCAAGCCTGACAAGTAAGCTGCCGGGCCTCGGGGCGGTCCTGGAGGGCTGGGGTGGGGGGTGGAGCCGGCAGCCGGAGGGCTGGGGGTGGGAATTGGAGCCGTGCAGAGGGGTGGGGCATCGGTGGCCTTTGGGGCTGCTCAGGAGCCCCACTTGTCTGGGTTCTGTTGGCAACATAGGGCCCCTCCTGTCAGGAAGGCAGGGAACTCGCACATCTTGAGCACCTGATGTGTGCAGAGGAGAGCAGTTACTTAATAGGCACTTGTTGTTTTCAGGGAAAGGACTGCACGTAGGAGGTGGTGCCAGGAAAGGGGAGGGAATGTGCACTTAGGATGAGGAACTGTACGTGGGAAGGGATCATGCACACAGAGCTGCTACTGCACGAGGGGAAAGAACATGCACTTATGAGGCACCAGCTGTATACAGGGAAAAGGAACATGCATGTTGCAAGACCTTCTATGTGAAGAAAGGGACTGTGCATGTCTTGAGCACGTGTGGTGTTTTAGTTCAGGAAAGAAAGGAAGAGACCATGTTTATTGGTTTTATTCCAGCATTTAGTAAGCACCTACTTTTCTTTGGGTGGCTGGGAGACAGGAGCATGAATGTGAATAATCCTTCATGCTTTGTAGTCCTTACATGATTTTCAAAGCACTCTCCCCTGCATTAATTGAGCACCTGCTGTGTACAGAGGAAAAGGCCACCCATGTATTGAGTGCCCTCTGGATATGAGGCAAGAACCACATGTTTCTTAGGTTCTTGCTATTTGGTGCACAGAGAGAGGATGTCATGTGAGCCACAAAAAAACCCAAACACTTCAATTTTCATGGAAACGTAGGCTTATTTCAATAGAGATGCTGAATACATAGGGCTAAAATAAATCAGTGATCATTTACATAAAATAATAGGACATTTTAATAAAAATCAATATTTTTTCTTAAACATTAACTTACCAGACACTGAATAATTATACAAATTAATAAGTGTAAAGCAAATAAACCTATTTTTCTTGTTCTCCAAAACCAAAGTATTTTCTGTTTGGCGCACCAAATAAGTCAGTACAAGACTGATGACGTGGCAGTCGGCTGCTAAAATATTCGCTGCTGGTGTTAGTGGAGAGAAATGGTGCGCCTGCACGTAAGGCGCATAGGGAAGTGAGTGTAACATGACCATAGTAATCAGTCATTAGTGAACGTTATAATGGTTATTGATAGTTATAACAGTATTGTAAAAATGAAGTTATGAAATTTTCATTAAAATGTTTCTTACATGCCATTATATTGTCTGGGCTGCAAAAGCATCCATTGTGGGCGGCGAGTTTGACATGCTTGGTGTCCACGTGCTTGGTGTCCACGTGCTTGGTGTACAGGATGACAAACCAACCCAGCCACCGGCTGGGGCTAGGTGTTCAAGTTTTTAAAAATGGATACAGCCCAGCCGGTTTGGCTCAGTGGATAGAGCGTCAGCCTGTGGACTGAAGGGTTCCAGGTTCGATACTGGTCAAGGGCACATGCCCACGTTGTGGGCTCGATCCCCAGTGAGGGGTGTGCAGGAGGCAGCCCATCAATGATTCTCTCTCATTATTGATGTTTCTGTCATTCTCTCCTTTCCCTTCCTCTCTGAAATCAATAAAAATATATTTTAAAAATGGATCCACTCATGAGGTGCACAGATATATTTCTTTGTACATCAGGTGCTTGAGATATATTCAGTTTTCTTTTCTGTAAATATATATATATGTTTTAAATATATTTTATTGATTTTTTACAGAGAGGAAGAGAGAGGGATAGAAACTAGAAACATTGATGATAGAGAAACATCGATTAGCTGCCTCTTGCACATCCCCCACTGGGTATGTGCCCGGAACCAAGGCACATGCCCTTGACCGGAATCGAACCTGGGACCCTTCAGTCTGCAGGCCGACGCTCTATCCACTGAGCCAAACCAGTTTCGGCTATAAACATATTTTTATTGATTTGAGTGAAAGGGAGAGGGAGAGATAGAAAACATCTGTAATGAGAGAGAATCATGGATTGGCTGCCTCCTGCACACACACCCCCTCCCCCCTCCCTGCCCCAGGGGATGGAGCCAGAAGCCCAGGCATGTGCCCTGACTGGGAATTGGACTGTGACCTAGTTCATAGGTCAATGCTCAACCACTGAGCTGCACTGGCAGGGCTCAATTTTCAACATGGAATGTAAACAAGAGGTGCTTGCAAAGTGTTTAATTTGTTACCGTAATGGATGTGTGTACAAACAATACTAGATACCCCTCCCTCACAGCAGGTGTTCAGGAAATGGTTTAACACACAGTTGGAAGGTGCTGTGATTCCCAGGAAGTTTAGTTTTGCCCAGAAAAGTATACAAAAGGTGCTCACTAGCAACACCCAATGTACCCAGTAGGTGCACAGATCTGTAATACTGACTGAGACCCGCTGGTTCTTGTGATAACTGGCTGTTTACCGGAAGGATTTTTTAATCCCTGGGGGGCTCTGGCCCATCCCGGGTGGAGCCAAGTTCAAGGGCTGCTGGGCCCCTAGCCCTGAGCCGTCCGCCTGCCCACCCGCAGCCTGCTCATCACCTCGCTGGGCCACATCAAGCTGACCGACTTCGGCCTGTCCAAGATCGGGCTCATGAGCATGGCCACCAACCTGTACGAGGGCCACATTGAGAAGGACACCCGGGAGTTCATGGACAAGCAGGTGGGTGGGCAGGCCCCCTGAGTGTTGGGGCCCCTTGACCCCAGGACATGACAATAAAAAATAAGGGGTGGGTACGTCTGCCTACCCCTTGTTCCCAGCCTGGCCGGCTCCCTGTCTCTCGTGGGGGTTCTCGGGCCGGGGCCACCCTCAGGTCCCCGTCCTGCCTGTCCCAGGTGTGCGGGACGCCGGAGTACATCGCCCCGGAAGTGATCTTCCGCCAGGGCTACGGCAAGCCGGTGGACTGGTGGGCCATGGGCGTCGTCCTGTACGAGTTCCTGGTGGGCTGCGTGCCTTTCTTCGGGGACACGCCCGAGGAGCTGTTCGGCCAGGTGGTCAGCGGTACGTTCTCCGGGCGCCCCCCTCCCCGAGAGGGCCACGGGTTTGAGTCTGCGGCACTGGGGCTCAGGGAAGCAGTGTGCCCCCCTGTGTGAGACAGGGGGGCCGCCCAGGTGTGGGCCGTGCACCTGCGGTGTGCCTAGCCCCAGCTGGCACTGGGGACAATAGGGACAGCCCTTCGGGCACTCACTGGTAGGCAAGAAGGACAGTTAGCAAGATAAATAAGTAGCCGAGACCGGTTTGGCTCAGTGGATAGAGCGTCGGCCTGCGGACTGAAAGGTCCCGGGTTCGATTCCGGGCAAGGGCATGTACCTTGGTTGCAGGCACATCCCCAGTAGGGGGTGTGCAAGATGCAGCTGAATCGATGATTCTCTCTCATCGATGTTTCTAAGTCTCTATCCCTTTCTCTTCCTCTCTGTGAAAATCAATAAAAATATATTAAAAAAAAAAAAAAAAAAGATAAATAAGTAAGTTATGGAGCAATTAGATGCCCGAAATGCCAAGAAGGAGAAGCCGCAGAGGGGAGAGGGTGCTGGGGGCGCTGCATTGAGCAGAGACCTGTGAGGCCACAGAGATGAGCCGAGAGCAAAGCCCTGAAGGTGCGAGAGGGAGCTGTGCACATGGAAGAGGGGAAGGCGCTCTGGACAGACAGCGCAGCCAGAGCGTGTCCGGGAGCTGGGCGGTGGGACCGAGCCTAGTGTGTGGAGGGGGCAGAGGAGCTAATGGCCTGGAGCTCCATCCCAACCCCCTCCCTCCCTGCCCTTGTTTTAGACGAGATCATGTGGCCGGAGGGGGAGGAGGCCCTTCCGGCCGACGCCCAGGACCTCATCACCAGGCTCCTCCGGCAGAGCCCGCTGGACCGTCTGGGCACCGGTACGTGTGGAGGCCGCGGTCGGTGAGAACTACCTGACAGGCTGCATGGAGGAGAGGGACTTGGAGCTGGGGGTTTGAAGGATACACAGGCGTTTGCCAAGGATTAGCACAAGACCTGGAAGCGAGAGCAGGTAGCTGGTTCTGGTGCAGGGGGAGACCCTGCGGCTGAGTGAGGACGTGAGCCTGCAGGACCACCGGGGGCCGTGTCCTAAGGTCCTCAGCCCAGTGGATCCCACAGCCCCCTCGTGGATGGTTAGGGAACTGTTGAGACGGTGCAGCCACTCATTAACGTGGCCACGGGGTCATGTTCCCAATGAAGCCTGGCCGTGGAGAGAACAGGGGGCTGAGGGTGGGGATCAGGACGCCTTCACGCAGTCCGCTCTCCGGGGAGGAGGCCCTTCCGAGGCTCCGGGGTTTCTCGGGGCGGTGGGACCTCGGAACCCGCCGGCAGGAAGAGCTGAGCCTGGTTCCAAGCCCGGCTCTTCCTCTCGGGGCTCTGACACGGCGGCCGGCTCCCTGCTCCGTCTTTCTGGCTCTGCGTTGGGGAGTTTGGGGCGGGACCCGCAGTGCTCAGCCGGCGTGTCTGCAGGTGGCACCCATGAGGTCAAGCAGCACCCCTTCTTCCGGACGCTGGACTGGGCGGGGCTCCTGCGCCACAAGGCCGAGTTCGTGCCCCAGCTGGAGGCCGAGGACGACACCAGCTACTTCGACAGTGAGTTCAAGTCCATGGGCTCGGGGTGCAGCACCCCCTCAAGTTGTGGGCGAGGACAGCAAGGCCCCCCTGTGGCAGGTTCCTGCCCAGGGCCTTCCCGCAGGTTCGGCCTTCCGGCAGGGGGCCCAGCTGAGCTGCTGCAGGGGGCTAGTCCCGCTCAGGGCTTCGGCCAGACACAGCCAATGCCCTTGGCTCCCAGCGCCTCTTCCGGAACGTGCTGTGTGACCTCGGGCATGCCAGGTCCTCTCAGCGCCTGTTCCTTCCTCTGAGGCAGGGAACGTACTGTACGTGGGAGGGGCACCATTTCCCCAATTCCGGGTGACCTGTCTGAGGGGCGAAGACATGAACCCGCAGACACAACAGCTCCCACCGGTGGTCCCACAGCTTCATGGACACAGCCAGGAGGGACGCCCAGACATGCACTCTGCGGCCCCAGCCCCTGTCCCTAAACACACAGGGCCTATCCCCCCCTCTCCACGTCACCCCGCGCCCTCACAGCCCCTGACGTGCTGGCTGTGCCTCCCTCCTGCAGCACGCTCGGAGCGCTACCGGCACCTGGGCTCTGAGGACGACGAAACCAACGACGAGGAGTCGTCCACGGAGATCCCCCAGTTCTCGTCCTGCTCTCACCGGTTCAGCAAGGTGAGGCCCGGGCCCTGGATGGAGCCAGTGCTCAGGATGTTTGTTTGTTTGCATTTTTTTTTTATGGTAAAATATAGCATAAAATGCACCATTGTATCCATGTAAAGTGTACAGTTCACTGACATTTAGCACACATGTACATACTGTGCAATCATCAACGCCATCTAGTTCCAGAACATTCCCATTACCCCAAAGGAAACCCATCCCGTTCACAGTCACTCCCCACCCCCCACCCCCGCCCCTCCCAGCCCCTCACAACCACCAGTCTGCCTCCTGCCGGTGGATTCGCCTCTTCTGGACAATCCGTGGAGGTGGACCACGTACGACGTGGGCCTCTGCGCCTGGCTTCTCTCACACTCGGCACGATGTGTCCCAGGCTCATCCACGTGGCAGCACGTGGCAGCCCTCAGTCCCCTCGTGCTGAGTAGCATTCCATCGTGTGGCTGTAGATGGACCACCTTGTATTTCTACTCTTTGGCCGACGGGCATTTGGGTTGTTTCTGCTTTCTGGGTATTGTGACTAGAGCCCTCTGCTGGGTATCATTTTGTTTATTTGCTTAAAAATACACTCAGTGGCCAGATTATGATGATCTCCGAACACATAATAATCTGGCCACTCAGTGTATATCCTATATAATAAAAGGCTAATATGCAAATTGTCTCCTCGACCAGGAGTTTGACCAGCAGGCAGGCCGGCCAACCACCCATGTCCCCTCCCCCTGGCCAGGCTGGCCGGACCCCACCCATGCACGAATTCATGCACCGGGCCTCTTAATATATATACTGAGTGGCTAGATTATCATGCATTCAGAGATCATAATAATCTGGCCATTCCGGGTATATACACACATATATATATATATTTACTGGTTTCAGAGAGAAAGGGAGAGGGAGGAAAAAAAAGAGAAATCTCAATGATGAGAGAGAATCATTGATTAGCTACCTCCTGCATGCCCTTCACTGGGAATCGAGCCTACAACCCGGGCATGTGCCCGAACCGAACCATGACCTCCTGGTTCACAGGTCGGCGCCCAACCACTGAGCCACACCGGCCAGGATGCGTGTCACTTTATAATGTCACAAGCTTAACTTCAGTTCCTTCCTTTGTTTATAATTTGCTCAAAAGCTTCTCTGTACCCCTCGTGGGCCTGGGCCCCGGGCAGGCTGTCTTGATCATCAACAGAAACCCCAGCTGTGGCCCCTCTGCTCCCTCTGAGCCCCAGATTCCCACCGGCACAGAGTCTGCTGCCTTAGGGACATGCTGAGTAAGGGTCTAATGAGGTGAATCGTAGGGAAGCACTGGGCATACAGAGCACGGGTGCGGCTCCTGCCTCCGTGGTCATTGCTGTTGTTTATTCCTTCCCCAGGTCTACAGCAGCTCGGAGTTCCTGGCTGTGCAGCCCGCCCTCCCCTTCGCTGAGCGAAGCTTCAGCGAGGACCGGGAGGAAGGGTGGGAACGCAGCGAAGGGGAGTATGGCCGCCAGCTGAGCACTGAGGTCCGGTAGGTGGGCTGGGCAGTACAAGCATGTCTAGCCTCCACGCCTTATGGGAGGCGGAGCACAAAAGCTAACATTGGAAAGAGCTTCCGAGCGGCCCAGTTGAAAAGGGTCAAACATATTGGCCAACCTGTGAGGCTTCTGCCACCCTAGCTCCTGTCGTCACCCCCCTCGGCTTTGCATTCCTAACCCCACTGAGCATAAAGCGCCATCGCACTGCTAGAACCATCGCACTGGTAGGCTTTGCTTGCACTGCTCCCTCGGCCCAGAACACCCTTTTCATCCTTCAAAGGCCGGACTCGGCAGATATAATCCATGTCTGCTAGAGGACGGGCGTTGGAAACTGGGTTTTAAAGGATGAGTTGGCTCAGTGGATAGAGCGTCAGCCTGCTGACTCAAGGGTCCCAGTTCGATTCCGGCCAAGGGCACAGGCCTGGGTTGCGGGCTCAATCCCAGTGGGGGTTGTGCAGGAGGCAGCCGATGAGTGATTCTCTCTCATCATTGATGTTTCTCTCTCTCCTCCCTTCCTCTCTGAAATCAATAAAGAAATATATTTTAAATAAAATAAAAGATGGATAGGAGTTCCCTAGGATAGGAGTTTCCTAGAGAATGGAGCAGGCAATGGCTGGGGGTGACTGGGTGTCCTGGGGTGAGGGCGTCTGACAAGCGTGACGTGGACTCTTTCCCGCTCAGGCTGAGGTCCTGGACATCCTCAGGTTCCTGCTACTCGTCCTCTTCCCAGCCCGAGCGGGGACCCAGCCCGTGTCTCATGAGCACCATCAGCCTGGACACGATGCCCAAGTTTGCCTTCTCGTCGGAGGACGAGGGAGCCGGCCCCGGCCCCGGGGGCCCCAAGAGACCTGTCTTCGTCCTGGGGGAGCCTGATCTGCCCCCGGCAGCCACCCCAGTGGTGCCCAAGCCCTCGAGCCTCTCCGGTAGGTGGGGCCCAGGGTGGAGGAGTGGTATCCTGGCGTGTGTCCCTGGGGAAGGACTGTTTGAGATGGGTTCTGAAGGATGACATGTTCTTCAGAGAACATTTAAGCTAGGAGAGGCTGGGGTTCTGGAGAAGCCTTGGGCCGCAGCGTGGCCCCCCAGGATGGGACTGGAGAGAGGGATGGGGCTGGGGAGCTCAGGGTCGGATGATGGGGGACAGGCTTCTGGAGGAGGGAGTGGCGCTGTCTGGGGAGAGGCGTGTGGGGAGGGTGCACAGGCAGAGAGAGCTGCCTGAGCCAAAGCCAGGAGGCTGCACCGTGTCCACGCCGGTCCACCTTGACCCTCTCACCCTGCCAACCTGCAGCCGACCCCACCGCCCTCAGCCAGACGCGCCTACGGAGCAACTCCACTGGTGCCCGCCACTCCACGCCACGGGCCCTGGACGCCAGCCGGGGCCACCGCCTCAGGGGCCCCAAAGACCTGGCCCCCGAGAAGCCCAGGGCCTCCTCCGGCGGGGGCTGCATGCCCAAGTCTGCCTCCGTGTCCGCCCTGTCGCTCATCATCACGGCCGGTAACGTCCGTGGCCCTGCCTTGTCTTGGCTCTCTGTCTGTCCCCATTTCAGTCGTGGGGTGGGGTCTTCTCTGGCTGGGGTGTCAGGAGCAGGAGGGTCCTTACGGGTGACGTTTGGCCTGAGCCCCAGGAGAGGGGGTTAGAAACAGGGAGACCCTTGCCGAAACCGGTGTGGCTCAGTGGATAGAGCGTCAGCCTGCGTACTGAAAGGTCCCAGGTTCGATTCCGATCAAGGGCATGTGCCTCGGTTGTGGGCACATCCCCAGTGGGGGGGGTGCAGGAGGCAGCTGATCGATGATTCTCTCTCATCGATGTTTCTAACTCTCTATCCCACTCTCTTCCTCTCTAAAAAATCAAAATATATTTAAATAAATAAGTAAATAAGTAAGTAAAGTTTACTTAAGAATAAAAAGAAAGAAAAGAAGGAAGTTTAAAAAAAAAAAAGAAAGAAAGAAAGAAAGAAAGAAAGAAAGAAAGAAAGAAAGAAAGAAAGAAAGAAAGAAACAGGGAGACCCAAGAGACTGGCATCCCTGGAGAGGGCACTGCACGTGCCAAGGCCTGGCACTGGGACATTGGAGCAGCTGGAGGGGTCAGCCTGGTGGGAGGGGAAGGCGCCCTCAGGGAGTGACCCACACCCTGACCCTCCTTCCTGCAGACGACGGCAGCGGCGGCCCCCTCATGAGCCCCCTCTCCCCACGCTCGCTGTCCTCGAACCCGTCATCGCGCGACTCCTCCCCCAGCCGAGACCCATCCCCCGTGTGCGGCAGCCTGCGCCCCCCCATTGTCATCCACTGCTCCGGCAAGAAGTACGGCTTCAGTCTGAAGGCCATCCGCGTCTACATGGGCGACAGTGACGTCTACACCGTGCACCACGTGGTCTGGGTGAGCTGTCTCGGGGCGTGGCTCTGTTTGGGTCTGGCTGTGCCCTGGCGAGGTGCGTCCTGCAGTCTGGGGGACGCAGAGCGGGGCCTCCCGGGTCTTTGCCATCCCTGTCAGTTGCAGGGAGAGGGTTGGGCACGGACAGGCCGGACAGGGAGGCAGAGGCCCTCGGTGAGCGTGACGCTTATGGCCCGTGCTAGCACGTGCACCGTGGGTGGCTTGTCCTCCTCCCCCCGGTCCAGGGCCTGGCACATCCCTTCTCCACAAGGCCGGGGAAACTGAGGCAGCGTGAGAGGCAGCAGCTCGCTGGTGTCTCCGGCTGTGGGACCGCTGACCCTGTCGTCTCCCCCCAGAGCGTGGAGGAGGGGAGCCCTGCCCACGAGGCGGGCCTGCGGGCCGGAGACCTCATCACCCACGTCAACGGGGAGTCGGTCCTGGGGCTGGTGCACATGGACGTCGTGGAGCTGCTGCTGAAGGTGCCACCCCACCCTGTGCTCCCTCAGGGTCCCAGGACCCCACCACCCCTTGGCCTCTGCTGCTGATTCTCCCGGGTCCCCTCTGCCCATGCTGGCTTCCCAAGCCCAGGCCTTGCACTCGCCTTCCCCTCGGACGAGGATGTGCTTTCCTCTTCGGCTCCTAACCTCACCCCGGAGCCCTTGCTGATCCCGTGGGGTCTGTGCCATCCCCGCCTCCGTCAGACAGAGGTCCCCGGGGGCCCACGGGGAGGAGCTCCTGGAGGCAGCATGTAGACGGACAGCTCACTGGATGGGCACAGACAGTGGGCGTGTGTTTTCGGCCCAGTGCGTGGTGGATCGTTCGACGAGACGGGGCTGGGTGGGGTCTGGGGCCGTAGGACACATAGGAGACGAGAGGGCGGGGGTGCTCCCGGGCTGGGGCACACGGAGGACGCCCTGCCATCGCTCCTGCAGAGCAGCAACAAGATCACCCTTCGGACCACGGCCCTGGAGAACACGTCCATCCGGGTGGGCCCCGCCCGGAAGAACGTGGCCAAAGGCCGCATGGCCCGCAGGAGCAAGCGGAGCCGCCGGCGTGAGACCCAGGACCGGTGAGCGCGGGGGCGTGTGCGTGTGGGGGGGGGGAGCCCGTCTCAGCTGGGGCAGGCGTGGGGGGCATGGGGGGGCGTGTGTGGGGCGGGGGAGCCCGTCTCAGCCGGGGCAGGGGCGGGGGGCATGGGGCAGCAGCCAGGAAGCTCCTGGGTTTTCACCCGCAGGCGGAAGTCGCTCTTCAAGAAGATCTCGAAGCAGTCGTCGGTGCTGCACACCAGCCGCAGCTTCTCGTCCGGCCTCCACCACTCCTTGTCGTCCAGCGAGAGCCTGCCAGGCTCGCCCACCCACAGCCTTTCCCCCAGCCCCACCATGCCCTGCCGCAGCCCCGCCTCCGACGCCCTGGCAGGTGGGTGCGCCCAGGACCGGCGGGGATGGGGGAGCAGGCGGGGAGGGGGAGGGGGAGGACATGTACGAAGCAGAGGATCAGAAGAGCCTTTCCAATTGCCCGGAGTCTGAGAGGCGACCTGGAGGTGGGCAGAGACAGTGCAGGGACAGGGAAGTGTGTGCTCAGCAGAGGGAACCTCGTGAGTAAAAGGGTCTAGCCTGGAGGGATGTGAAAGCTGGGGGAGGCTGACGAGAGGACATGGCAGGGTGGATCAGGCCTCAGAGCCGGGCTTAAATGGGCGGGCAGTAGGGAGCCACAGAGGGTATGTGGGACCCAAAGGGCATGGAGAGCTCGTTCTGGTGCGGGAAAGGATGGTGAGGCCCCCGGACTCTGAGAGGCTGAGGAGCGGCAGGGAAGGCCTCCTGAAGGACCACAGGTCCACTCCTCCAGGAAGTCCTCCTGGGGATCCCAACTCCTTCTCTCCCCTGCCCCCGCCCCTTACCTAGTGGGGCAGGGGTTATCCGTGTCATCTCTGCCTACCTAAGACCAAGCACCCTCTGGGGCTGAGGCCTGGGAGTGGAGAGGGGAGCACTGGCATGGAGGAGGGCCCTTGTTGGGTAACTCTGGGGACAGTGGACAGAGGGACTGGGAATGGGTATCTTTAGCCCAGTGAGTAACGAGTCATCAGATGAGAAGTGGGAGAGTAAGAGCTAGGGCTTTGGTCCTGGCTGGTGTGGCTCTGTTGGCTGGTGCACTGAAAGATTTCCAGTCCGATTCCCAGTAGGGCACATGCCTGGGTTGCAGGCTCAATCCCCGGTAGGGGGCATGCAGGAGGGAGCCAACTGATGTTTCACTCTCACATCAGTGTTTCTCTCTCTAAAAAAAAAAAATCCTATATGCCAGGACCGGTTTGGCCCAATGGATAGAGCGTCGGCTTGGGGTCTGAAGGGCCCCGGGTTCGATTCCGGTCAAGGGCATGTACCTTGGTTGCGGGCATATCCCCAGTAGGGGGTGTGCAAGAGGCAACTGATCAATGACTCTCTCTCATTGATGTTTCGAACTCTCTCTATCCCTTCCACTCTGTACAAAAATCAATAAAATATATATATTTTTAAAAATCCTATATAATAAAAGGGTAATAGGCAAATAGACCAAATGGCAGAACAACCAATCAAAGCATAATATGCTAATGATATCCTAAGGCTGCTCAACCACTTGCACTGACCACCACGGGGTAGACAGTCAACCGGTTGACCAGTCGGTATGACGTGCACTGACCACCAGAGGGCCGATGCTCTGACCGATAGGTTAGCTTGCTGCTGTGGTCTGACAATCAGGACTGGGCAAGAGGCTGGACACACCCTGGAGCCCTCCCGTGGTCCCTCCCCGGCCCGATTGTGTACCGGTGCTGTCCCTCAACCTGGCCTGCGCCCTCTCACAATCCAGGACCCGTTGGGGGATGTCAGAGAGCAGGTTTCTGCCCCATCCCGCAGGCCACTCCCCTTGGGATGGCGCCAGATGCAGGGATGTGAGCCCGTGGCAGGCACAGTGGGGCCCGGATGAGTGGAAGCAGCAGATAGGAGCTGCAGGCCACCCAGAAGGACCCCGCCTGTGCATGCACCGGGCCTCTCGTGAATTAATAAAAAAGAACTAGGGCTCTGGTGCCTGAGCAGGAATTGTTCACCAGACCTAAGCCACGGGAACAGCCTGTGCAAACAACCAGAGGCGGGAAAAGCAGGCTCAATGATCTGTAGAACATGTGGGCTTTGGCAGGTGCAGTCAGTTCCAGGGCCCTGCCTCCGGGGTGGGGACTGGAGGGCCATGGCCTGACCTTTCACTGTCATCCACAGACACCGCGTCTCCACCCAATGGCTCTCCGAGCTCCAGCAGCCCTGCCTCCCCAGCCACTGCTGGCCACACCCGGCCCAGCTCCCTCCACGGCCTGGCCGCCAAGCTCGGGCCTCCCCGCCCCAAGGCCGGCCGCCGCAAGTCTACCAGCAGCATCCCGCCCTCCCCGCTGGCTTGCCCGCCTGTGCCCGCACCTCCGCCCCGCTCGCCCTCACCCCTGCCCGCGCCCGCCCGGTCCCCACGGTTGCGCCGGGGCCAGTCGGCGGAGAAGCTGGGTGCAGGCGAGCGGCTGGAGGGGGAGCTGGGGCGTCGCAACCGCGGGCCAGACTCCGAGCTGGTGGTCATGCGGAGGCTGCACCTGTCTGAGCGCCGAGACTCTTTCAAGAAGCAGGAGGCCGTGCAGGAGGTGAGCTTTGACGAGCCCCTGGAGGAGGCCGCCAGGCTGCCCGGGGCGATGCCTCAGATCGCCGTCGAGGGCGCCGAGGCTGTTCCCGGGGCCCTGGGGCCCACGGAGAAGGACTGAGGCCCCCACCTGGCCTCGCGCTGGCCTGGAAGTTGTGTGGTTTTTGTGCAAGGTTTTTCCAGTCAAGTGGCACCTGGACGGAGACGGAGCCGCCAGCCTGTGACTTCGGAGAGCAGGAAGTGTCCGTCACGCCTCTTGCTGGAAGGTGGAGTTCAGCACCTGCATGTTTTGGTGCCATCAGTCAGGGGCTGTAGGGCAGGAATAGGAGATGAGGGTGGCACTGTACATAGCAAATCCCTGTGAGTAATTTATTACTTTTTTTTTTAAGTATAAGAGGAAGTTTAGAAAGTTACAGAGGCAAAAGGAAGGTCCTGGAAAGAAAGGGGCTCAGGGAACAAGTTACAGAGGACAGGAAGGGCCTTTGGGAGAGAAAGGCAAAGTAACTTGTTTGGGGGAAGAGGAGGAGGGAGGGGCAGGCGTGCTCCCAGGAGGGAGAGCACACCGAATGCATTGCTTTTGGTCAGCGGTGGCCAGACCCCTATCCCTGGCATCTCGGACCCCATTTGCAGACCCTGCCTCTGGGCCTCTGCAGGCAGCACTTTGGACGAGTCCCATGTGTTCGTGGTTTCTCGTTTTTCTGTATTTTTAACATTTTTGGTTTGTCTTTAAAGTTTTTTGTGTGTGTGTTTTACTTGATCCCATCCGTGATCCAAGACTCACCGATGGGGACACTTGTTTGGGCCCAATTTGGATGTGACTTGGAGGGTCTAATGGATTCCCTTCCGCCACGAACAGAATCATCCCCAGGATGAGCTGGATGCTGAAGGCTGCTTCCCACCATCCCAGCCTCCATCTGTAGACCAGCCTGGCTAGTCTGCCTGTAGGGGCTTAGGGGACGTGGGAACTGGGGCTTTCATGGATGAGTAGGAGTTCGCCACCTCTAATCCCCGGGGGGACACTAATGCCTTAGCAGGCGGAGGCCTCAGGCCCTGCCAGGGCAGAATGTCCACCCTGGACAAGATCTCACGTTTGATGCTGATCAAGGTGAGCCCTTGAACATGATGTGTCTGAAGCACCCTCTGACAGTCCCCTCAACGTGTCAGAGCCTCCCCGGGATGAAACTGAGTCGAAAACCCAAATGGGGAAAAAAGAAGGAAAAAAAAGAAAACCCACATGGGTGGGTAGTGAAGTCTGAGTGTGAGTCTTGGCTTCACTGTTCGGCTCTGGGAAAAGGGTCGCTCCACTCTGTGCCTGAGTTTCCTCGTGTTTACAAAACTAATCCCAGTAACTTTATTCAGCACCTACTATGTGCCAAGGTCTTTTACTCACGTCTTGTTCCTCGGCCAGCCTTGAGAAGGCTGGAGCTGGCGTCATCACCCCCATTTACAGACAGACAGCGGAGGCCTGACGAGGGCCAGAGACTTGTCCCACAATTGCTTGGTGAGAGCCATGCCGCCAGGCCCTGCCGTGGGCCTTGTCAGCAGGGGAGCTTGAATGCAGCCTGATGTCATACAGCGGTGTGACCCAGGGGGGCATCTCGGAGCCTGTTTCCCGTGTGGAGGTGGCTGGCAAGATCGCTGTGCCCCACGTGGTTCAGGCATTTTCCCCGGATACTGCAGCCTGCTCTGCGTCCTCCCGCCCCTCCCCCAGCACTGCCTAAGTGTTGGAGCTAGACCCGGGCTATGCATGACTTGCTTCTTCCTTCCATCACGGAGCTGACAGTGAATAAAGCCCACATTGACAAAGAGGAGGTCCACTGTCTGGATTTGTGACCAGGGGCCGGGAATGAGTAAGGGAAGGCGGTGGAGGTGAGCTGAAAACAGACTCTGGGCTCGAAGTCCTTTAAATTGGGTTTTGAATGCTGCGTAGGAGTTCACTGAGATGCTTTCTGATGGCTCCTCTGGGCCTGGCCTACTGCCCTCTCCCTGTGAGTACCCATCCTGGTTTCTGCCCTTAACAGTTTCATTCGGACACCCGCCCGGAGCCCTGAGCTCGGTTACTAAATAAACCATTCCTACATACTTTTTATTTTTTTAATATATTTTATTGGTTTTTCACAGAGAGGAAGAGAGGGATAGAGAGAAACATCTATCAGCGGCCTCTTGCACACCCCCTACTGGGGATGTGCCTGCAACCAAGGTACTTGCCCTTGACCGGAATCGAACCTGGGACCTTTCAGTCCGCAGGTCGACGCTCTATCCACTGAGCCAATCCGGTTTTGGCCATTCCTACATACTTTTTTAAATATATATTTTTTCATTGATTTCAGAGAGGAAGGGAGAGAGAAACATCAATGATGAGAGAACCATTGATTGGCTCTCTCATGCTCGCTCCCACACTGGAGATGCAGCCCGAAACCTGGGCACGTGCCCTTGATTGCAGTCAACCCGGGGACCCTCCTGTCGCAGGCCAAAGCTCCATCCACTGAGCCAAACCAGCTAGGGCTCCGTGTCCTTTTTATACTTGCTTGAGCTGTGCCCTAAAATCACCCCATCTCCACCCAAACTCAGCTCTGCCAAATGCGTCAGTTGCTTACTGAGCTCTGCTCAGGGTCAGAAACCTCTGGCCACGCCCCCGTTCCCAAGCGTCTGCGGCCGCTTCCAGAAAACAGCTGTTTGCATTTGGCCTCGGGTTGGGCGTGTTCCCGCGCAAGCGGGGCCGGAGCTGGTTCAGCTGCTGCCAGACGCTCTGGGTTGCCATGGGAACGCCTCCAAACCCCGGCTCTTCAGATCACAGCTTTGGGTAGTAGCTTCTTCCCATATCCGCCGGCTCCTGTTTCCTGAACCCGGGCCCCCACCACCCACGCTGGAGCAGCCCATTCTTAGGCAATTTCCAGAAGCTGGCTGGCCAGCTCTGGTTCTGAACTCCTAGGGCCTCCTTTGGGGCCGAGGACGCTCGGTTCTTTGCAGAAACTCCGCGGTCTCGAGGCTCAGCCTCGTCGCCAGTCCTATGGAGCTCTCTGAGCCAGTTCCCGAATTGCTCGGTGTCTCCACGCTCAGCCGAACCAGGCCTCAGGATCACTCCTCTGACCCGATTGTGCTCGGCCGTTTCCGGGAGGGGTCACTGGGGAACGTCTAAGCTCAGGAGCCTAGCTGAGCCCAATCTCGGGGTTAGTTGTCTGGCGGCCCAATTGCGCTCGGCTATTTCCAGAATCGCTCGGGTGTCCCTACAACCCAGGCTCCACCCCGGATCGCTCACGTGACCCGGCCACGTTCGGCTGTTTCCGGAAATGGGGACTCTCTCGGGGACTCCCTACTTCCAGGCTCCAGTCCCGCGGGATTACGTTCGGCTCTTTCCGGAAGCGCTCCGGCGTCTCCCAGCTCCTCTTCAGCCTCCCTGCTTCCGCCCGGCCCGAAGGCGCTCGGCCGTTTCCGCCGGGGGTGGGCCGGGTCGTTCGGAACCGCGGCGGCGGAGGCGGGGATCCCGCGGTGGCGCTGACGGCGACCGCGGTGGAGCCACGGCTCGGGCTCGGCTCCGCGTTACGTCCGCCTCGGCGTCGGCGTTGGTGGCCGCGACCAGTAAGTCCGGGCCGGCCGGCGTGACAGACGGGGCTGGGGGTGCGTGCAAATGCGGGCGCCTCGGCAGAGCTTGGCCCGTGGGACCCGGGGAGACCACGGGAAGCCGGAGGCCTCGGGCTCCACCTGGCAGCCGTGCAGCCACCGCACGGAGGGGGCGGATCGGGGGCCTCCAGGCAAAGATAAGGGACTGGAGCCTTGGCCGGGAATGGGGGGAGGCCCTGCTGGGAGTGGGGCGTCCAGCAGAGATGAGGGGCTCCGGGCATTATGTGAGAATAGTGAGGTCTGAGGGTCGGGATTCGGCTCCACATCCGGGGGTCCACGCAGGCCTGAGTGTGCGTCCGGACACTCATGAGCACGCAGGCCCTGCCTCCAGCCGCAGAGCCCCTGCCAGGCCTGGCCCCGCCACCCCGCCTCTTGGATTAGGGGAGCCTCGGTCCCCGGTGTGCACACCGGGCGAGTGCAAACGAGTGCAGACAAGCGAATCCAGGCGGTTTTCTAAACGTCCCCTCTCTGGACCTGTTTCCCCACCTGTAGCATGGGGATGCAGGGCCCAGGGAGTGGGTAAGTTGGGGGGCTCCCCGGAATGTGGAGCCTCTGTTCTCTTTTCCGCACCTCCCAGGGCTCTCGGTGGTGGTGGTGGTGGTGATGGTGGTGGTGGTGGAGGAGGAGGTGAAGGAGGATTGCCCCTACCCTCTAACCCTCTGCCGGGCAGAGTCCTGCGTGGTGGTCGGTGACTTTCTTAGAGCCATCCAAGCAACTGCCCACTTTCAAGCCTTTGCATGTGGCCAGTGCCTGCTTCTGTCTTTAGTGGGGACCTGCCCTCTGGAAAAGCACCCCCCACCCCAACCTCTAAGAAGGACTGAACCTGCAGAGCTGATACTGGGAATGTGTGTTTGCTGAGCCCTGTCCCCCTGAGACTGGGGACTCCTGGAGGTTGGTCATCAGCCAGCAAACAGCAGCCTTTGCGTTGGCAGCCGCACTGCCCTCCTGCCACCCACTGTTCACCCCGGGGATAAGGTCTTCCCAACCTCCCACCGACCTGCTTATGCCCTGAGCACCTACTGCGGGCACTGCACTGAGTCAGCCAGGACTCCTTTCATCTGTTCCTGTCTCCTTTGCAGAGATCAGAGGCCCCTTTGCCCGTGGGAAGGTGGGGTGAGTAACCTGCTGGGACTTCCTTTCCTACCTCTTTGTGCCCCTCCTATCTCCTGTGCTCCGCTGGCCCGATCCCCCCTCAGGGTCCCATGGCACCCTGAGCGTTACCTGCTCTGAGTCTAACCAGCTGGCCATGTGGCTGCTGCCTTCTCTCATCCATCCTGGGCCTTGAAGTTAGGCAGATCTGGGGTTTTGAGTAGTGGCTTCCTGGCAGGACAAAAACCTTCCCGCCCTTAGTCTCAGTTTCCCCATCTCTAACAAAGCTTGTTTACCCAGCATACAGTACATCTGGGGCAGGTAACCCAAGGAATGGCTATTATTATTTTTTATACATATTTATTTTATTGATTTTTTACAGAGAGGAAGGGAGAGAGAGAGTTAGGAACATCGATGAGAGAGAATCATTGATCAGCTGCCTCCTGCACACCTCCTACTGGGGATGTGCTCGCAGCCAAGATACATGCCCTTGACCAGATCGAACCTGGGACCTTTCAGTCTGCAGGCCGACGCTCTATCCCCTGAGCCAAACCGGTTTCGGCAGGAACAGCTATTATATATTTTTTAAATATATTTTATTGATTTTTTTACAGAGAGGGATAGAGAATTAGAAACATCTATGAGAGAGAATCATCGATCAGCTGCCTCTTGCACACCCCCTACTGGGGATGTGCCCGCAACCAAGGTACATGCCCTTGACCGGAATCGAACCTGGAATCTTTCAGTCTGCAGGCCGACGCTCTATCCCCTGAGCCAAACCGGTTTCGGCAGGAACAGCTATTATTGCACCCACTTTACAGCTGGGGAAACTGAGGCCCAGAGAGGGACAGGAAATAGCCCAAGGTTACCAAGCGAGTCAGGGGATTCCAACCCGGGATTTGGGCCTATCTCTGGGTTGGGGGTGGGAGGAGTCCGACCCGGCTTATGCGGCCTTGCCCTTTCCTTGCCTGTCTCCCCCCAGGTCAGCATCCCCTGGTCCCCCGCCGAGCATGGTGACAGCCTGCGCCCCTGGGCCCCTCATGTGGCACAGCTGGAAGGACCGCCAGCCTCGGGCGCCTTTGGCCTACCGCGTGAGAGAGTGAGCGGCAGGCCCGGCCCAGCCCTTCGGATTCAGGGGCTTCGCAACAACTGAATGACCAGAGCACTCACTGGCGACCCCTCCCACCAGTCGATGAATGATGGGCGGAGCCAAGAGTGACCCTTCTGAGGGTCATGGAGTAACGACAGGAAACAAGGCATGAGCGTCCCCTGGAGTCACCTGTAACTTCCTGCTGGAAATAGAGGTCCGAGCACCTCAAGCCAACCCCGTGGACCCACCTGGCCCCCACCCAGCTGATGGGGCCGCTGGGGCCCCGAGCGGCCACCTGACCTTACAGACCCTCCCGCCCACCATGGCCGGCGCCGAGGGCTTCCAGTATCGGGCCCTGTACCCGTTCCGCCGGGAGCGGCCGGAGGACCTGGAACTGCTGCCGGGTGACGTGCTGGTGGTAAGCCGGGCGGCCCTGCAGGGGCTGGGTGTGGCCGAGGGCAGCGAGCGCTGCCCGCAGAACGTGGGCTGGATACCCGGCCTCAATGAGCGAACCCGGCAGCGTGGCGACTTCCCTGGGACCTACGTGGAGTTCCTGGGGCCCGTGACCCTGGCCCGGCCCGGCCCTCGCCCCCGCGGCCCCCGCCCGCTGCCTGCCAGGCCCCAAGAGGGGCCCCCTGAGCCAGGTGAGCAGTAGGCAGGGACTCTGTCAGGGATGTGGTGGGAGGAGGGGGTCCACTTAGACCCTCAGTTTCCTCTTCAGTAGGCAAAGCTGCCTCTTCCCGGGAAGTGTTGGCTACGCGGCTGTCAAGGGCCAGACGCAGCTGACAGTATCGGGAACACAGGGGTGGACACAGGCCTGGCCCTGCCCTCGGGGGCCTGGTTCAAGAAATGAACAGATGGTGATACGCTGACCACAAAGGCTGAAAGGAAGGAGCTGGGGTGAAGGGCTCTAGGCAGGGAGCCTAACAGAGTCCATCAGGTGGGGATGTGGTGGGTTCAGGGAATGGGGGCCATGCTTGGGAGACATCCTGGGATTAATTTGGAAGATCGTGGGGAGTTTTCAGTAGCATTCTGAGGCTCAGTTTAGCTTTATTCTGTGGTTTGTAGCCAGGGTTCCTTGAGGCACCCCCTTTGTTACCCTGATTTTACCTGGTTTCAAAATGAAGGGCGCCTTGAAACCAAGAAAGGGTGGTCGCTCAATGGAGGCCATTCAGCAGGTGCAGTGTGAGGACAGCATGCCCTCCTGAGAGACCCCCAGCCACACCCCCAGGCTGTGCTGGGGGAGAGACTCATGGACACTGGGCATGTGTTGAACTTGCTGTATGCTGGGCGGGGTGCGTGCGTGCGTGCGTGCGTGCGTGCGTGCGTGTGTTGGGGGGGGGGTTCTACCATGGAAATCAAGGGTCCGGTTGTGGGGAGGAGACTGATGGGTGCTAGTGCCAGCATGGTCTGCTCCGGCCTCACAGCAGCCCAGGGAAGCCCATGGACAGATGGGGAGACTGAGGTGCGGGGGAGTCCGGGCACTCAGGACCACCCAGTGAAGGCAAAGGGCCTGGATGCACCGTAGCCCCCACCTGGGACCCGCCTGGTTTTGTGCCAGAGGGACACTGACGCCCGCAGCGGGTGGAACGGGGGCACCAAGGCCGTGTGGTGCCAGCTTGGGACTTGCAGCATCTGGTGTCTCCAGGGCCTGGGCCTGGGCCCCGTGTTGGCCTGGAAGAGCAGGAGGTGGCCCCATCCGGGCTCCCAGCCAGAATCTGCCTCTCTCCCTGGTAACAGCCGCCTCCCTCCCCTGCCTGGCCTGGGTCCCGCCTCCACACACATCCCCCGCTCGGGGCAGGAGCCCTGCCCTCCAGATTTTCCAGGCTGGGTGCCTGGGTGTGGAGGGGCCACTCTCAGACTCAGTTCCCTCATCCGAAAACAGGGAGAACTGGTCTTTTTATGCCTCGGACCCTGCCCCAGCGGGATCCTGGGACCCCCCCACACACACACACCATCCCGGGAGCATGCTGGGGCTGCGTTGTTTCCTCTATCCCACCCCATGCGGGGTGCCGAGTGCAGCCCCCCAATGTCACCGGGGCTGGACACGCACAGTGAGGTTGCTCCCTCTCTGAGCCTCAGGTCCTCGTCCATAAAACGGGGTGAGGCTGTTCTGATGGAGCCTCCCTCCCCGTGGCACAAACCGGTCACAGAGCCGTGGCAGCCCCTCCCTCTCGCCCCTTGTTCTATCTTTCGGCTTTTTCACAGTAGCTGGGCCTTCCTCCAGCTTGAGGCACCACCTGGCCCATCACTCAGCGAGGCCCACAGGCCCCTGCTTGCCCCTGCTGGGTGCCAGGGCGTCCCTGCCGAGGGCCAGAACCGCGTGTGCAGGCGGAGCGTGGAAACAAAGGGCCCCTGGGAAGCTCAGAGCCTGAGGGGCTGGGCCAGGGAGGCCCCTTTCCCTGGGAGGGCGGGGCGGGGCGGGGTGGGGGTGCGATTTCAGCATTTTGAAAACGGGGAGGTAACTTTTTTAAGGCAAAATGACTTAGAAAGTAAAGGAATGTCTTTGAAGTGAGTTCTGACCAAGATGGGGGTATTTTCTGTTTAGGCTCTGCCCACCACCGAAAAGGAAGAGGGAAAGTGTCTCAGTTGAGGAAACTGAGGCACGGGGAACATGGTTCCTGGGCGGAGGCTGCACGGGGAGCCGTGGCAGGGCCCGAAACCTGTTGTGTGAGTTTCCGGGGCCACAAACTCCCACAAACCAGGTGGCTCCCAACCACGGGAGCGTGTTTTCTCCTGGTTCCGGGGATCCGAGGTCCAAGATCAAGTGTGAGCAGGGCCACACGCCATGTGCAGGATCTTTTCTGCCTCTTCCTGCTCCTGGTGGCTCCAACATCCTTAGCTTATGGCCGCCACGTTACCCCAATCTCTGCCTCTGTTGTAACATGGCTTCTCTCCTTTTTTTTTTTTTTTTCTTCTTCTTCTTCTTCTTCTTCTTCTTCTTCTTCTTCTTCTTCTTCTTCTTCACTTTATTTTAGAGAGGGAGGAAGGGAACAAGAGAAACATCCATGTGAGAAAGACGCATCAACAGGTTGCCTCCCTGTATGCACCCCACCCAGGAATTGAACCCACAACCTAGGTATGTGCCCTGCTGAGGAATGGAACCCTCAGCGTTCCGGTTGATACTCCAACCAACTGAGCCACACTGGCCTGGGCACATGGCTCTCTTCTTGTAGCTGCCAGTCCTTGCGTTTAGGGCTCTAAACCCAAGATGATCTCATTTCAAAATCCTTCCCTTCCTTATACCTGCAAAAACCCTATTTCCAAATAAGGTCACAGTCACAGGTGCTGGGGGTTAGGATGTGGGCCCCTAACTTGGTCCTCCCACACTCGGCCACAGGGCCCCTGGCTTTCCCGGGCTATCGGTCCAGAAGCCAGGCCCCTGCCTGAGCGGGGCCCTGCCTGGAGCTGCCCCGGCTGAGATGCAGGAGGCCAAGAAGGGGGCTAGGGTCCTTCTGGGGATCCTGCCAACACGCTGTCCCCCCTGCCAGGCCTCACACTCCCTGACCTGCCTGAGCAGTTCTCCCCACCCGACGTGGCTCCCCCTCTGCTGGTGAAGCTGGTGGAGGCCGTCGAGCGGACAGGTGAGCCTGGGCCTTGATGCGACCCCTGGGTTCCGCTTGCTTAATCCTAGTGACGGGCGACTCATCCCTTAACAGGCTGCTGGGCTCAGTCTGCACGGGAGAAGGCTGAGTCCAGATGCTGCCCGCCTCCTTGAACTGCGGGAGGAATGACTCCCAGGGGAGATGGGACTGCCCTTGCCCTTGGTGTGCTACGGCCTCTGCCCCCCTCCCCCTCCTTTTATTTCTGGGAAGTGGAGTAGCCACCCTCCACCTCCATAAGGGATCAGAGCAGCATCTGACAGACACCTCCCTCCTCTCCCCCCCCCCCCCCCAGGGCTAGACAGCGAATCCCTGTACAGGCCCGAGCTGCCGGCCCCGTGCACAGGTGAGGGCGCGCTTCAGCGGGTGGGGGGACGGGGCGTCCACCCCAACAGCCCCTCAGACATCGCCCTCCTGCACCCACAGACTGGTCCCTGAGCGACCTAGAGCAGTGGGACCCGGCAGCCCTGGCCGATGGCATCAAGGGCTTCCTCCTGGCACTGCCTGCGCCCCTCGTGCCGCCGGAAGCGGCTGCGGAGGCCCGCCGGGCCCTGCGAGGTGAGCCTGGTGGGGAGCTCTGGGCACGGAGGGGCCGGAGCGTACGATAGCCCAGCTCATCCCGCTCCACTGTCCGTCCGCAGAGGCCACGGGGCCCGTGGGGCCAACCCTTGAGCCCCCGACGCTGCCGCTGCATCACGCGCTCACGCTGCGCTTCCTGCTCCAGCACCTGAGCCGGGCGGCCCGGCGCGCCCCGGCCCCGCGGCCCGCTGTGCGAGCCCTGGGCGCCGCGTTCGGGCCTCTGCTGCTGCGGGTGCCTCCCCCGCCGCCACCGCCAGGGGGCGCACCTGTCGGGTGAGCAGCCTGCGCCTGGGAGGGAGGGAGGGAGAGAAAGGGAATAGCAGGCACCGCTGCTATGATTGGGGTGGTAGGAAGGCTAATAAGGGGTGAACCTGGGCTTCAGGAAGACCCCTCCTCAGAGGACCTGGGGCCTGGACCCGAGGAGAGGCACCTGTGTGGGGCCTGGACCTTCCCTTCTAGGTGCTGGGCTCGGTCAGGTTCGGGGTATTTATTGAGCGCTCACTGCACATACAGAGGCCGCAGTTGGCTCCCCACACCTGCCTGCGTCATCTGCCCTGCTCCCCAGCCTTCAGGTGTGCTCACACAGGCGTGCAAGCACATCCAGGACCGTGTGCACACGCGTGTGCAGATACCCCTGCCTGCTCACTCCTCTCTCCTCCCCTCAGGACTGAGCCCAACCCCGACTTCCCAGCCCTGCTGGTGGAGAAGTTGCTTCAGGAGCACCTGGAGGAGCAGGAGGTCGCACCCCCAGGTGAACCCCGTTTGCCTCACCCTCTCTTACTGTTGGAGGGGGTGAGTGAAGGCTCCCGCCCCGCCGGCATCAGCAGGCTTGGTGGCAGGGGGAGCCGACCACGGCCTAGAACTGGTGTTCACTGTGATTGTTCTCCTGTCCTTCAGCTCTGCCACCCAAACCGCCCAAAGTAAAGCCTGCCCCCGCAGGGCTGGCCAATGGGGGCAGCCAGCCCTCCCTGCAGGACGCTGAGTGGTACTGGGGTGACATCTCCAGGTAGGGTTGTGGGGTGGGGGCCATGTGGGAGGCAAGGCCTGGAGGACGGAGTCTCCAACGGGAGGCCCCAATCCTGGGTGTCCCCACAGGGAGGAGGTGAATGACAAACTCCGGGACACCCCTGACGGCACCTTCCTGGTCCGAGACGCCTCCAGCAAGATTCAGGGAGAGTATACCCTGACCCTGAGGTGGGAGCCTGCCCCTCGGGACCTCTGGGGTGGAAGGTGGGAGAAGGCCATGTGCGGGGTCAGAGCCAGGACACCTGGCCGTCAGGCTTGGGGTCCTGGATGGTGACACCCCCTCTTACCCACCCCAGGAAAGGCGGGAACAACAAGCTGATTAAGGTCTTCCACCGCGACGGGCATTACGGCTTCTCGGAGCCGCTCACCTTCTGCTCCGTCGTGGACCTCATCACCCACTACCGCCACGAGTCCCTGGCCCAGTACAATGCCAAACTGGACACCCGGCTCCTGTACCCCGTGTCCAAGTACCAGCAGGTCTGGGGCCTGGGCAGGAGCCAGAGAGGGTGGCCCCGGGCCTGACTCGCCCGGGTGGCCTCACTGGTCACACTGGGTGTCCTCAGGACCAGATTGTCAAGGAAGATAGCGTGGAGGCAGTGGGTGCGCAGCTCAAAGTCTACCACCAGCAGTACCAGGACAAGAGCCGCGAGTATGATCAGCTCTACGAGGAGTACACACGCACCTCCCAGGTACCCCGGCCCGCGCACATGGGGACCAGCAAGGCCATGGGGCAGGCAGCTACTGCAGGTCACCACGCAGTCACTGAGCACCAGGAGCTGCCCTAAAAGCATAGAAATAAATGTACATGGTGGTTTTTGTTTTTTAATATGCTTTTGTTGATTTCGGAGAGGAAGGGAGAGAGAGAGACACAGAAACATCAATGATGAGAGAATCATTGATTGGCTGCCTCCTGCATGCTCCCTACTGAGGATCGAACCTGCAACCCGGGCATGTGTCCTTGACCGGAATTGAACCTGGGACCCTTTAGTCTGTAGGCTGACGCTATATCCACTGAGTAAAAGTAGCTAGGGCGTACGTGTTTGTATTCTTTTTTTTTTTTTTTTTTTTTTTTTAAGAACAAATGAGATGATGCTAGTCAGCCTCTCGGGAGCAGCTGGGCTAGGACATGGGAGATGTTTCGGTTAACCTGTGCATCTCTCAGTATCTCAGTTTCCCCATCTGTAAGCTGGAACTGTGTGTTTTAATTCCTTCTCCGTCCCCTTCAACCTAGAGGTTATTTACAGATAAATAACTATAACTGTCTGTCTAATCCGACAGGAATCTGACGGATTAGACAGTCAGGAGGTCACGTTGAAGAACAGCATCTTCTAAACCAGGGAAGGGGGGCTTTCTTACTCTGGAATTGTGTTGAAAAAATGTTTTGGCAAGTTGAGATGCAGTCTACTCAGACCAGATGTCCCTCTCGGGCTGGGAATGGCTTACTTCCCCTGTGGTCCCTGAGGGGTTTCTTTCCTTTCCTCTTTTTACTGACGCGTCTGCTGAGGCTCTGACAAGATGCCTGCCTGGGATCTGTTAGGAGCATCGTGACTTGGGACAAGACGTAGTCTCCCTGAGTCTTAGTTTCTCCATTAATATTTCTGACTCTGTAGGAGGCTGTTGGCAGGCTCTGTGACATGGTGCGCGAGAAATGCTTAGAACAGCATTTACTCAGAAGGAACCGCATGAACGGTAGCAACTAGATTTATCATTGCTTCTCAACAGTGCTAACAAGTCTAGGCGTTTGTAAGGTGCCCAAAGGAGGTTATCAAAGAGGAGTGTGTTTGGGGAAACAGGGCATTGAAGGTTGACTAGGAGTTCGTCTGGCCCAGTAAGAGCTAGAGGAATGGCATGCGTAGTGGATGGAACAGCCTGAACAAAGGGTTGGGGTCTGCCGGCTCCCTCATGCGGGACTTGCGGGGAGTCCCAGGGGATGCTAAGAGTCGCCTCTCCTCCAGGAGCTGCAGATGAAACGCACCGCCATCGAGGCCTTCAACGAAACCATCAAGATCTTCGAGGAGCAGGGCCAGACTCAGGAGAAGTGCAGCAAGGAGTATCTGGAGCGCTTCCGGCGTGAGGGCAACGAAAAGGAGATGCAGAGGTGAGTCCTGCTCCTCTGCCCCGCCCCACCCCACCCTATCTAGTGGGAAAGAAATAGAAATAGAGGGGGCAGCTGGAATTCCTCCAGGGAGGAGGGTCAGTTGAAATGGGCTTTGAAGGCTGAATAGGAGTTCGGAGGCTGGGAGCCATCCACAGCCTCTGAGCCACGCCTCCCCCAGGATCCTGCTGAACTCCGAACGGCTCAAGTCCCGCATCGCCGAGATCCACGAGAGCCGCACGAAGCTGGAGCAGGAGCTGCGGACACAGGCCTCGGACAACCGGGAGATCGATAAGCGCATGAACAGCCTGAAGCCAGACCTCATGCAGCTGCGCAAGATCCGAGACCAGTACCTGGTGTGAGTGCCCCGCGCTTGCCCGTGACCCCAGCATGAGGACCTTGGCAAGGGCTCTCTTCCCGCCTGGGCCTTCGATGCTTACCTGCACCTGCTACACGCCCGGCACTGTGCTGAGCAACCCTCACGCACATATCTTGTCTCTCCAAGTCCTTTGTGAGCTTTCCCCTTTCCAGTGAGGAAACCTGAGACACAGAACACATAACCGCTGTGCGTGCGAAGGCCAACAGCACCGTGTGCAGCCCCTGAGACGGAGTCTCTGGTGGTGATATTAACCTGCAAGTGGCCGGTGCTGGAGGCTCCACCAGGTTAACAGAGACAGAATAAATAGGGGGTTTCCTGGCAGAGCCAGCCAGGTGCCCCCACCTTCAGGCTGCCCCTTGTGGCAACTGGTGGTATTGGACCCAAACCCACCCTCCTCTGCCAGCTCTTGCCTCTGGGCTGGCTGGACTGGACTGGACCCCTGTGGTCTGGCCCTGCCTGTGCTGCACCGCCCACCTTCCCTTTTCCTCCCAGATGGCTCACCCAGAAGGGCGCCCGGCAGAAGAAAATCAACGAGTGGCTGGGAATCAAAAATGAGACTGAAGAGTGAGTGACCACGTGAAGGGCAGCAGGGAGGGCTTCCCGGGGGAAGGGCCGCTTGGGTGGGTTTTGCAGAATGAGGAGGAGTTCGCCAGGAAGGGAGCGCTGTGGTCCGGTGGCAGGGGGCCTCAGAGGCCGTCGGGTCTGTGGCCAGCTCCCCTCCCCGCCTCCCCCACAGCCAGTACTCGCTGATGGAGGACGAGGAGGACCTCCCCCACCACGAGGAACGAACCTGGTATGTGGGCAAGATCAACCGCACGCAGGCTGAGGAGATGCTGAGCGGCAGGCGGGACGGGACCTTCCTCATCCGTGAGAGCAGCCAGCGGGGCTGCTACGCCTGCTCTGTGGTGTGAGTGCCCGTGGGGGCGGGGAGCCCCCTGTTCCTGCCAGGAGCTCTTCCTGAGCACCTACTGTGTGCTAGGCTTCGGGGAGACAGGTGGGAAGAAGGGAGTACTGGGGGTATGGGAGGAAGCTGGGACAGTGTCCAGGCCAGAGATGTTGGGGGCTGGACCAGGTCAGGGTCTGAGAATTGAGGGAGGGGCCGGGGGAGCCGCTGGGGTGCCCCCCTGACCGCCTGTTTGCTCACCCACAGGGTGGACGGCGACACCAAGCACTGTGTCATCTACCGCACGGCCACCGGCCTGGGCTTCGCGGAGCCCTACAACCTGTACGGGTCCCTGAAGGAGCTGGTGCTGCACTACCAGCACACCTCCCTCGTGCAACACAACGACGCCCTCACCGTCACCCTGGCACACCCCGTGCGGGCCCCGGGCCCCGGGCCGCCCCCCGCCGCCCGCTGACTCCCACACAGCAGGACTCCATCTGTCTGTCTGTCTGTCCCTCTTCGCTGTGAATCTTTCTCTGTCTCTGTCTCTCTCGCTTTCTCTGAGCCTCTCTCTTCCTGTCACTCTTTCTATCCCCATCTTTGTCCTCTCTGTCTCTCTCAGTCTCTGTTTGAGGAGCTTACCTCCTCCACCCTCTGTCCCCTTCCCCCATGGGCACTGCCCGCCCCTGGCTCTGGCTGCCCCCACCAGTTCCTAGGGTTCCCCCAAGCCTGGACCTGCCATGTTTACAAAGGCCCCTGGGGGCTCAGCCCCAGCCTGGTGCCCTGATTTTTTAAGCCATAGACCCGGGGCCGGGGCAGGAGGAAGGCAGGAAGGAACTTCGCTGGGCCACTTCCAAGAACCTCCGCTGTGACATTCGGGGCCGGGCAGGTCCCGATGCCCCACAGACACAACTTCCCCCTCCAAACCCCGAAGTGAAACCCGCACCGGTTACCCCCCTGTGGAGCTGCTGCCCAGAAGCCCTCCTCCCCCAGAAGCAAATGAGTAAAAATAACCTCAAGCGCTGGGCCCCGCCTAACCCCGGGCTTCCCAGGAACGGAGGCCGCTGCGGCACCCTGGGCCGGCGACACGCACCGCCGCCCACAGCTCCGCTCCACGCCGCCTCAAGGCTTCTCGATCATGTTGGTTCTGATTTTGTTTCCTTGACTGTAAACCCATGTTCTCCTCTTTTGGGACAAGAACCCCGGTTTTCTATGCTGCCATGGACACCCCCGCCCCCCTCCTGCCTGCCCAGCGAGGCGGCAGGCGGGTTTTGTATGGTACGTTGACACTGATGTGGATATAAAACATGGAACTCGGTGGTGCTTCTGTTATTGGCGGGCCTTCTCCGTGGCGGCTGGGGGCCCCGGTGTTCACGGGGTCACACACAGGTGGGCTTGAGTTTAACTCGGGCTGCCCGTGAGGGCCCACAACCCCACCCCCCAGCCCCAGGGTAGCTGCTCGTGTCCAGAGAAGTTGAGAGACCTGACCTCAGCAGGTCACACAGCAGAGAGGTTCAAACCCTGAACTCTAGCTTGATCAGGGGACCCCAGACTCCAACCCAGCTCTTGACTGGCCCCCTAGGTTTGAGTCCCCGCACTCGGCCACCAGCCATACCCTGATGTGTAACGTCCCTGTTGCCAAGTGCGATAGATGGTCACAACCCCTCCCAATCCACCCAGAGCTCATCCACGTGAGCCGGGGCTGGGTGTGGGTCCGGCCGGAGCTGTGAGCAGTTACTGAAAGGTCAACGTGGCGGGTGGTGCACCTGGCAGGCAAAATCGCCATCTCCGGTGGTGACTAAGGAAAACGGGAATTATTTAAGGGAAGGGGTTGGGGATGAAATGTCCAAAGGGAAGGGCTGCACAGCCCTGAGCCACGGGGACTCTGGGTCCATGATGCAGCGCCCAGTGGCTGGAGTTCCATCTCTGTGCAGCCACCGGTGGGAAGCTTGTCGTCAGGTTTGGGGGCTGAGCGGGTGGGTTGGGAATGCAGGCTGTCAGTTAGGTGCCTTCAGGACAGTTTCCAGTCTTTGAGTGGCCTGACTTCCCTGGGCTTCTGTTCTCCTGAGGCGGGAGCTTCCCGATGGCCGCTGAGGGTTTATTGCCCTATAAGCCTCACAATTGTACTTCTCTGTTTCTCCCATCCTGCCCAGCACGGAGAGCACCCAACCAGCTCCAGAGTTGTGCTGCTTCGTGTTGCAGACTTCAGGGTGGACGTGGGTTTTGTTACGGGTCCAAAGGGATGGTATGGGTGGGTCGTCAGCCATGGGGACCTCAGGCCCAGCCTGGCTCGCAGCCCGTGGCTGGGAGCCTGTGTGTGCAGGCCGCGCTTCCCCGGCCTGGGGGGGGACGCGGCTGTGGGAGCGGTGGCCGCGGGGCGTTGGCTGTCTTCCCGGCCAGGTGGTGGGCGTTCCCTCCCGTGAGGTCTGACTGTCACGACCGGAATGTGAGACCTTGCAAAGTGTGACTATCTCAGTCCCTCTCCCAGTCCTCCCAGCTTCCAGTCCTCCGGCACGGTCACTCTGTCCCTTCGCTGCTGCCCCGGGTCAGCCCCTCCCAGGGACACCGCCCAGCTGCCCCACCCCCTCCCCGGGCAACTTTCCCAAACCCCCCTCTTCTCCCATTTTATAGGCGGGGAAACTGAGGCTCCATCACTTGAGGTGCCCAGCAAAGTCCTAGGGCGAACCTGGTCTGGCTGACGGCTGGTTTGAGTCCTACATGGGCATCCCCAGCCCCTGCCCACTGGACATAGTACAGGCTTCGGTGATTGCTGCTCCAACCCCACGGGCACTTGCTGGGAGCTTGCAGGGAGCTTGCTGGGAGCCAGGATGCACGCCACTGCCCCTCCCCCAAACCCCTGGCCTTGGAGAGAATGACCACCAGCTTCCTTCCACCCACCCCCCGGAGTCAGGGGGGGGCCAAGAGAAGTGAGAGGCCCTACTGCTCTGGCTTCTGCTTTCTGGCCCAGCTGCGGCCAAGTCTGAGTCAGCCCCTCGGGACTGTATCTGGGCTGGGGGGTGGACTGGGGCAGGGGTGAGGGGCAGAGCCCCTGGGCTAGGAGTGAGGGGGTCTTGGGCCAGGCGAGGGAAAGGGTCCCGGGCTGTGCAGCCAGTGCCCGCTCCCAGGCAGGGAGTCGCATCTGCCCTCCCAACCCCCCATAGTGCGGATGCTGGGCCAGGGCAGGGGGCTAGACCACCCACCCTAGCTGCCCCGAGGGCTCTGTGGAGCGAGAAGACCCTTCCGTCTCCCTCTCTGTGTCTGTCCCCTCCACACGTGCGCTCCAGGAGCTTGATCCCAGATCCCAGTCTCTGGGCTGGAGTGAGGGTGAGGTGAACCGCTGAGCGGCCCTGAGCAGCGGCCGGATGGCCAAGTGGTTGCTGTCCCAGCACCTGGCGGGGGATAGGGGGGTGGGGGTGGGGGACAGGGTGGGCTGGAAAGGGGGAGACCCAGAGGGAATGGCAGACACCAGAGACACCAGCCCGGCCCCGAGGGGCGTGGGCCCGGGAGGCGGGTCCGGCCCGGGGGCAGGGCCAGGACCGGGTTAAAGGCGGCGCCCTCCCCCGGCTGCTCCTGTCGCAGCCCCAGCCCACGCCGCGATGGCCCGGTCGCCGCTCCTGCCGCTCCTGCTGGCGCTGCTGCTCCGGGTCCCCGCCGAGGCGCGCGCCCCGCTGGACTCGCTCCTCCGGGGGGCGGCCCCCTGCCAGGTAGGGCCGCTGGGCGCTCGCCTCCTCCCCGGACCCGGCCCGGCGGCTCCCCGCGATCTGGGGGGGACCCGCCCCGCCGGGGCCGAAATCCCCCGGTAAACCCCGGGCTCTGGCCGCGCTCTCGGAGGACTTTCGCTTTCCCATCTCCAGCCGTCCCCCCTGCGTCCCCGCCGCCCCGCCCCAGGGTGCACCGAGCACCTGTGCACACCTGGGGGGTGGGGTGGGGGGGTCAGGGTCTCCTCTTGGGGGTCAGGGGGAGCCCAGACCAGCTGCCCGTGGCGCCCGCATCCCTATCGGATGCGCCTCGGCCAAGGCAGAGCTCCCCGGGTCTCTGGGGCCAGCACGCGCCTCGGAGGCGGGGCGGCGGCTCCAACCCTGGGTGCCTGCGCCCCCACTCGGCTGGAGCCGGAAGTCAGCACTTATTAGGCGCCACCTCCGCCGTGGACGTGGGGAGGGTTCCGTGGCCCCGTGGGAGGGGTTCCGTGGCCCCGTGGGAGGGGTTCCGTGGGCCCCTGGAGAGGAAGAGGAGTCAGAGCAGGTGTAAGGGCCAGGCTCTGGGAATGAAGTGGCAACAGATGAGCATCCATTAGTCTCCTGCGGTATGCACCTCTGGGAAGGCAGGATTGAGGTCAGGGGCCAGAAATGCTCTTGCCTCGAGTCCTTGCGGTAAACGGTTCCCCTGGGCCCGAGGTTTCGCCTCACCTGGAGGAAAGCAGGAGCTGTGCATGAATGAATCGCCTGCGGTATAAGGTCTGCCCCGCCTGGTTTGCAGCCAAGCAGATTTAAGGGCTCAGGGAAGCCTCAGAGTCAAGAGTGCGCTCGGGACGGGGCGCTTACTGCTTGGCTCTCCCTTTCTGCAAGGGAACCGAGCAGAGCTAAACGTACTTCCTACCCCTCCCCCCTGCCCAGGCCGGTCTCCCGTGCCCCCTGGCGCCCCTGGGGAAGCCCTCCTCGCCTCGCGTCAACGTGAGCCTCTACTACGAGGCCCTGTGCGGCGGCTGCAGGGCCTTCCTGGTCCGGGAGCTGTTCCCCACGTGGCTGATGGTCAACGAGATCCTCAATGTCACGCTGGTGCCGTACGGAAACGCCCAGGTACTCAGCCCCGGGGACCCTGAGGCCGGGCTGGGACTGGGAGACTCCCGGGGGGAGCCGGCCGCACTCACCTCACTGCCTTGCAGGAACATAATGTCAGCGGCAAGTGGGAGTTTTCCTGCCAGCACGGAGAGGAGGAGTGCAAGTTTAACAAGGTGGAGGTGAGCAGCCCCAGGGCCCCATGGGGGTGGGGGGCACGGAGGCCCGGAGGCTTCGGGGAGGGGGGGATGAAGGTAAAATCCGGGCTCAGGCGGGATCGGAACCAGCTCTCTCCCCTGCCCATGTGTCTCCGTTCATTGTTTTGCTAACGGGGCCCGTGGTTATTACCAGAGGGGTCCTGGCGTGCTCTGGGCCCTTCTCAGGCCTCTGCCTGCCCGCCCCTAGGCCTGCCTGTTGGACCAGCTGGAGTGGAGCGCAGCCTTCCTAACCATCGTCTGCTTAGAGGAACTGGATGACATGGAGGGCAATCTGAAGCCGGTGAGTGAGACCCTTACGTGGCCTGGGTTGGGGGGCCCTGGCCTTCCCTACACTCAGGGAACCCAGGTTCAAGTCCTGTCCCCAACAGCCACTGTCTGGACGGCCCCAGGGAAATGCTCTCTCCTTTCTAAGCCTCAGCCTGTGAACCAGGGGCTGGAGGATCTCCTGGGGCCCGGGGAGCGGAGGGGCCTCTGAGCTGGACTTCGGGAGCAGGGGGGTGTGGGGACACAGACGATGACCCTCCGCCGGGGTATGGGGCTGACAGGAAGGCCCGCCCCCCTCCCTGGAAGGTTACGAAAAGGAGCTCCCAAAGGAATGACTCTTCTGTCCCGATCATGTATTCACTCATCAACTATTCAGGCCACCGGGAGGACTCACCCCGAGGCACCCCAGCCCTGTGGAACGTACTGGGGCTAGGAGAGCACAGAGGGGGAGGGAGCCCCGAGGGGATGCTGAGGAAGCTGGAGGAGGGGTGCTCCTGGCAGAGGGAACTGCACAGATACAAGCTCTGAGGAAAATGTGGGCGTCAGGGGCTGAAGGTCTGGTCCTAGCAGATTCAGGAGCAGCCTGAGCTTCTGCCTCAGGGGCCTCCACTCAGGCATGTATGAAGCACCTGCTGTTTACATGCGTTGTTACATTGCTCTGGACCCAACTGTCCCTTATTGCCCGGGAGGAAACAGAAACGTGGCTTGGGGGGCCCCCGAGGGGGACGGTTGGGGGGATAATAAGGAGACAGCTCAGGCTCACTGGCCCTCCTCTGCCCTCAGTGCCTGCAGATCTACGCCCCGAAGGAGTCCCCCGAGGCCATCATGGAGTGTGCCACGGGGGACCGCGGCACCCAGCTCTTGCACATGAACGCCCAACTCACAGACGCTCTGCAGCCACCCCACGAGTATGTTCCTTGGGTCGTCGTCAATGGGGTAAGAATCTTGTGGCCCTCGGGCTGGCCCTGGGGCAGGGACCAGGGTGATGGATGTACCCACCAGCCTGGGAGATGGGAAGCAGGGGCCAGATGTGGGACCATTTGCAACTCCTTCCGGGCCTGGCATGGGGTGGTCAGGGCAGGTAGCCCCGTGACCTCCTGTCTTGCTTTGTGCAGAAACCTTTGGAAGACACGAACCAGCTCCTATCCCTCGTGTGCCAGCTGTACCAGGTAAGCCGGAGGGAGGCATCGGGTGGGGGGAGGGTCTCTTTCAGGCCCCGAACTCACGGACTCTCTCCTCCAGGGTGAGAAGCCAGAGCTCTGCCCATCCCAGGCCAGCTCCCACAGGGACGTCTGCTTCAAGTGACAGCCGCTGCCCTTGGAGGGAGCCGATGGAAGCATGAGCTCCACCCGCCTTCGTTTTCCTGACCCCTGACTCAGCGGCTACAGCTCACCATCCAGCTAACGTACACATCCCACGGAGTCCAGACTCAACATTTTACCCCACGATCAGGAATCTACCACTGAGAATGGTGCTACATCGAAACGAGTTTAATAAACCCTTCCAGGTGTTGTGACAATCAATATCCTTCCATTCCCCCCACCCCCGGCCTGTGACAACTGCTTTTCTTTTGTTTCTATAAGTTTTACTTTTTTAAATTCCACATATAAATCAAGTCATACATTATTTGTCCTCTGACTTATTTCACTTAGCACAGTATCCTTCAGGTTCCCCCATTATTGTCACAAATTGCAAGATGGCTTTCTATTTTTTTGTGGTCGAATAATATTTGTTAAAAAGAATACTGTCCAGTCGGTGTCACTCAGTGGTTGAGTGTCAACCTATGAACCAGGAGATCTGAGTTCCATTCTGGGTCAGGCCTATGCTCCAATTGTGAGCTCAATCCCCAGTAGGGGGCGTGCAGGAGGCAGGCAATCAATGATTCCCTCTCATCATTGATGTTTCTATCTCCCTCTCCCTTTCTCTCTGAAATCAATAAGAAATATATATTAATAAAAGAATATCAAAGAAAGAACTTCCTTGGCAGGTCTAATTAGATTTGTCCTGATGATTTATCAGGATGCAGCAGGCATTCAGTTTGCTTTGCTGGAAGTTTCTGTAAGGAATATCAGGTTGGACTTTGAAAAGCCTCTAACATTGGCTAACTAAAGAGAAAGTGGACCAGGTTTCACCTTGCAGTATCTATGCCTCTTGGTAAGTTCTTTTAAAAATAAATATTTTATTTATTTATTTATTTATTTATTTATTTATTTATTTATTTATTTTACAGAGAGGAAAGGAGAGGTATAGAGAATTAGAAACATTGATGAGAGAGAAACGTCAATCAGCTGCCTCCTGCACAACCCCTACTGGGAATGTGCCCGAAACCAAGGTACATGCCCTTGACTGGAATCAAACCTGGGACCCTTCAGTCTGCAGGCCAACAATCTATCCACTTAGCCAAACCAGTTAGGGTGAATATTCTTTTTTTTTTTTTTAATTGGTTAGAGAGAGAGAGAGAGAAAGAGAGGGGGGGAAATAACATTGATTTGTTCGACTTACTTATGTGATCACTGGTTGATTCTTTATGTGCCCTCACTGGGGATAGAACCCATAACCTATGTGTTTTGGGATAATACTCGAATCAGTACTCTAAGCCAGGGCTACTTTCTTCTCTTTTTTAAATGGATTTCAGAGAGAGAAAGGGAGAGGGAGAAAAAGACAGAAACATTGATGAGAAAGAATCATCATCAGCTGCCTCCTGCATGCCCCCTCCTGGAGATGGAGCCTGCAACCCAGGCATGTGCCTTGACCAGGAATAGAACCTAGAACCGTGACCTCCTGGTACACAGGTTGATGCTCAACCACTGAGCCACACCGGCCAGACAAGGCTTCTTTCTGCTTGATAGCCCCTGTGAGAAATATTCACCTGTCCAACTTAAAATAATGAACTAGGAGACAGAGCATGGCGAAATGAGGTCTTTAACATGTTCTCCAGAGCAGTGTCCCTCGGCTGTACAGGTACACATGGAGTAGGGATCGCAGTTTACTTATTCCCCAAGGTGCGAGAGTCCCTCCTCCAGCTCCTCATTGGCTGAGTACTATGGGGTTTACAGTTTCCTCACACATCGCCTAGGTCTTACTGGGTTATTTTTCAAATGGGCTGAGAGCCGAAACCGGTTTGGCTCAGTGGTAGAGCGTTCGGTCTGCAGACTGAAGGGTCCCGGGTTCGATTCCGGTCAAGGGCATGTACATTGGCTGCGGGCACATCCCCAGGTAGGGGATGTGCAGGAGGCGGCTGGTCGATATTTCTCTCTCATCGATGTTTCTGGCTTTCTATCTCCCTCCTTTCCTCTCTGTAAAAAAAAATCAATAAAATATATTTTTTTAAAAAAATAAAAAATAAAAAAATAAAATGGGCTGAGAGGCCTTTTCTAGCTGTCTCCACTTACCCCGGTCCAGTTGAGGCAGCGCCTTGGGGATTTCCACCATGACACTGGCTAGTGTACACAGTTCCTTGTTCTTATACCCTCTCCCCTCCTCCCTACATTCTGTTTGCCTTGGGGAAATTCAGTAACCGTTTCCATTACACGTTGACTGTGCTGAAGATGGATCACAGAGGTTTATTTCTTACATCCCTCAAATATTACAAGAGCCACGGTGGGCCAGGATCGACCTGTAAGACTGAACCTGCAAGGCAGTTATGCATCAGTTTTCCTGTGAAGTGTGGGCCAAAGGGGCCACATGCTGACCTGACAAGCTCAGGGGAGGCCTGCATGGCGGGCTTGCAAACTCAGAGACCTGAAGGAACCACAAAGGACGGTCTGAAATTAAACTTTCACTAAAAGCAGTTATGGTGGGCAGTTACATCCTAGGCAGGTCTTAACTGAGCCTATCTGTCTTTTTGCATCTACGATAACACATCCTTGAAATGTCTGGGTAACTCGCAACTTCCCTTCTTCTGGAGCCCCTGGGGCACAACCTAATGTGTCTGGGCACCGGGACAGATACCACAGATTCCGTCATTGTCATGTTAATTATCCCTGCACCTATCTAAGTATGTGTCCATCATTTTACTTTTTTAAAATGTAATAAATCTTTATTGTTCAGATTATTACAATTGCTTCTCCTTTTTCCCCTCCACCTGGTTCCCACCCCACCCTCTGCCCTTACCTCCCCCCCCCACTGTCCTCATCCGTAGGTGTATGATTTCTGTCCAGTCTCTTCCTATCCCCCCCACACCCCTTTCCCCCTGAGAATTATCAGTCCACTCCCTTTCTATGCCCCTGATTCTATGATATTCACCAGTTTATTCTGTTCCTCATATTTTTAAGTTTTAGGTTCACTTGTTGATAGATATGTATTTATTGTTCATAATTTTTATCTTTACTTTTTTCTTCTTCTCTTTCATTTTACTTCTTATCCATCCCAGGGGTCCCCACCACCACCACCACCAGTTTGCTTTATCCCACCTCCTTAATCTATCACCAATGAATTCCAGGCAATCCACCTAAGTCCCTCCTTTGATTGCAATATATAAATACAAATGTAACCACCATTCTCCGGAGCATTATCCCAATTCACTGAGGTTCTGCTCCCCTGCATATGTCGACAGTTTGGCTCAAATAAACTCACAAAAATTCTTTACAGGTTTCAATGTGGGTTTTTTTTTTACATTAACAGAAGATTTTATAAACATCAGCTCCCCAAAGTGAAACTTGGTTTCTTGGATGTGGTTGTTGATGAAGTTTACCTGACTATCCTGTGAATCAAAATTGGACATTTTAAAGCATGCTGGAAGATTTCCACCAAGATCAGTAAAATCTAAAGTCTGTAATACCAGGCCGAGGTACTTGACAGCAGTAATTGCTGAAGGATAATTTTGCCAAAAAAGGCAAAGTCATGATTTTCACACAGATGTAAAAATGGGCATGTGTTAAAAATTGTTAACTTAAAAAAAATTGTTAACTTATTATTAATTAGGACAAATGGTCAGGTGTTAACACCATTTTAAAGGAGATCTAAAGAACAAACATATCAGGATATTAAAATAAATATGCAAAGTAAAGCAAAAATAATTGGGGGACAATGTCTTTCCACCTGGCAGAATTCATTTGCATGTCCATAGGCCAAGATTATTTTTTGCTGTTATCAGTTATAACTACAGTTTATAAAAAAAAAAAAAAAAAAAAGTGTGGACAAAAGGGGCCACATGCTGACCTGACAAGCAGCTCAGGGGAGGCCTGCATGGCGGGCTTGCAAACTCAGAGACCTAAAGTAACCACAAAGGACGGTCTGAAATTACACTTTAACTAAAAGCAGTTATGGTGAGTAGTCACCTCCTAGGCCCGTATCTTCACTGGCAAGGTCATGCTTTACCTTAACTGAGCCTATCTGTCTTTTTGCATCTATGACAATATATCCTGCAAATGTCTGGGTAACTTGTAACTTCCCTTTTTCTGGACCCCTTGAGGCACAGTCTAATGTGCCTGGGCAGCAGGACAGATACCACAAATTTCTTCATTATTTTGTTATCATGTAAATTGCTGACTGTCAACTATCCACACCCACCTAAGTATGTTGCCGTAGTATAACCCCCATCTTTTTTTTTTTTTTTTTTTTTTTTGAGGTCAGAAAGTTTCATTCGAACCTGCCCCTCGCCAACAGTGTCCACTCAGCTGGCCAACTCCGAGGCACTGCTGGCAGGGCAGACCCCCCCTCCTGGTCCCCCACCCCCCCCTCCATCCCCCCCCACCCTGCTGGCCGGGTAGGCCCCTCCCCGCTCCCCGTCCCGCGCTGCTGGCCAGAGCCTGGCCGTGGACTGAGAGCAGCCCTGCCCAGCCTCGGGCAGTCAGCACCCCCCCCCCCAGGCCAGTGGCTGAGGCCCTGGTATAACCCCCATCTTACAAAGGACACCTCAAAAACTCAAATTATGGAGTCATTTATTAAAAGCTGGCAGAATACGAGGGAGCAAAAGCACTCCCGACAGCTTGCCACATCTGGCTTATATTGGCAGACTATCACAAAGGTATTGATTGCATCTTTGGGTATGGAATGAGGAACCGGTTTCTTGAAAAGCATTTTACAGAGGCGAGATTGAGCAAGTTAGTTATCTAAAGTATCTATGAATCACTGAATCAACAGAAACACATTATCTGGGACCACCAGAGCAATTTAGGATAATTGTGCTCTTCTGATTCCAGGACCACTGAGTCAACTGAAACTCAGTTATCTGTAGCTACTGAGACAATCCTATCTAATAAAAGAGTAATATGCAAATTAACCATCACTCTGCTACACCCACCAGCCAATCAGAGCAGGTATGCAAATAAACCCAACCAAGATGGCTACAGCCACAAGAGCAGGAGGGAGATTTGGTTTTCCCAGGCAATGGAGGAAGCCAAGCTTTCCGCCTGCCCTTGCTGGCCTAAACCTCCACTCAAGGCTACAAAGTTTCAGTCATAAAAGGTAAACAAATCCAAACAGAAATGGCGGCAGCCACGTAGCTGGAAAGAGCAGGAGGCTAGGGTTGCCCCTGGCAATGGAGGAAGTAAAGCTTTCCGCACATCCTGGCTGGCCCAGGCCTCCACTCCAGGCTACAAAGTTTCACTTATAGAAGATATATAAGTTCCAACAGAAATGGCTGCCGGCCACAGAGCGAGCAGGAGGCTTGGCTCCGCTCCAGGCTACAAAGTTTCAATTGTAGAAGGTAAATACATTTCAGATACCAGGGCCTCTGCTTGGGTCGCCAGGGGGCATGGCTGGCCTGCAAACCACCAGAGGCCCCTTGCTCAGGCCACCCACACCCCAAAGGAACCCCCACCCTGATCCGGAACACCCTTCAGGGCAAACCAGCTGGACTCCACCCATGTACCAGGCCTCTATCTTATCTAATAAAAGAGTAATATGCAGATTGACCATCACTCCAACACACAACATGGCTGTCCCCATGTGGTCAAAGATCCTGCACCTATGTGGACACAAGATGGCCATCAGGGGAGGGCAGTTGGGAGGCACCAGGCCTGCAAGGAAGGGCAGTTGGAGGAGATCAACCCTGCAGGGGAGGGCAGTTAGGGGTGATCAGGCTGGCAAAGGAGGGAAGTTGGGGACAAACAGGCTGGCAGGGGAGCAGTTAGACATCAATCAGGCTGACAGGGGAGTGGTTAGGGGGTGATCAGGCTGGCAGGAAGAAGCAGTTAGGGGCAATCAGGAAGGCAGGCACATGAACAGTTGGGAGCCAGCAGTCCTAGATTGTGAGAGGGATGTCCGATTGCTCGTTTAGGCCCGATCCCACCAGGATTGGGTCTAAATGAGCAGTCAGACATCCCTAGAGGGGTCCCAGATTGGAGAGGGTGCGGGCTGGGCTGAGGGACACCCTCCTCCATGCCCCCCGTGCATGAATTTCGTGCACCAGGCCTCTAATTTGGAATAATTGAGCTGTCCTGGTTCTCAGAAGAATGTGCTTCAGGAACCAGTGAGATCACAATCAATGGGATATTCAAACCACATCAATGGAGTATGGGATAGCATATATAAGTTCAGAAAATCAAAATAACTTTATTTTATTTTTAAAAAATATATTTTTTATTGATTTTTTATAGATAGGAAGGGAGAGGGATAGAAAACTAGAAACATCAATGAGAGAGAAACATCGACCAGCTGCCTCCTGCACACCCCCTATTGAGGATGTGCCTGCAACCAATGTACATGCCCTTGACCGGAATCGAACCTGGGACATTTCAGTCTGCAGACAGATGCTCTATCCACTGAGCCAAACCGATTTCGGCCAAAATAACTTTCTATCATTTTAGCAAACAAATGCAGAACCCAAACAGCAGTTTCTACCTGAGATGATTGCTACCATACTTCAATGTGTCTATCGTTTTCCTTTTCATCCAGTCCCAGAGGCATCCCCACCCTTTGCTTTTTTCCCACCTCTCTAATCTATCACCAGTGGATTTCATGTAACCTATCTATGTCCCCTCCTTTGATTGCAATGTATAAAATAGATGAAAAAACTGCCATTCTCTGGAGCATTATCTCAATCCATTGAGGCTCTGCTTCCTGGCCATTGTCAACAGTTTGGCTCAAATAAACTCATAAAAATTCTTTACAGGTTTGAATGTTTTTATGTTAACAAAAGTTTCCATAGTGCAACCACTGTGGAGAACAGTATGGAGCTTCCTCAGAAAACTGAAAATGGAACTCCCATTTGACCCAGTAATCCCACTCCTGGGAATATATCCCAAGAAACTAGAAACACCAATCAGAAAGGATATATGCACCCCTATATTCATAGCAGCACAATTTACAATGGCTAGAATTTGGAAACAGCCTACGTGCCCGTCAGCAGATGATTGGATCCAAAAACTATGGTACATCTACACAATGGAATATTATGTATAAAAAAGAAGAAATTCTCATCATTTGCAGCAACCTGGATGGAATTGGAGAACATCATGCTGACTGAAATAAGCCAGTTAATGAAAGAGAAACATCACATGACCTCACTCATTTATGGATGATAAAGAACATTATAAACTGAAGAACCAAAAGATAGATATAGAGACAGTAAAGCAACAAGCAGACTGTCAAATTACAGCAGGGAGGGGAGGGAGATCTGGGGGAGATAAGAGATCAACCAAAGGACTTGTATACATGCATATAAGTACAACCAATGGACACAAAACTCTGGGGAGGGAAGGCATGAATGGGGGGGGGGGAGCAATGGCATATGTACCCAGATAATAATTTAATAATAAAAAAAAGTTTCCATAGAATCAGAACCAGAATATGCTGAAAGGCAATTTTTTTTTTTTTGTAAAGTGCCATATAATAAATAGTTTATAGTTTTTACAGGCCAAAGTCTTTGTTACAACTCCTCGTTGTAATGACAGTAAACAACACAGACACGAATGGGCACAGAAGTTTGAATTTCATGTAATTTTCACATACCCCATATTATTTTGATTTCCCCCTGACCAATGCCAAAATATAAGAAACATTCTTAGTTCGTGGGCATCACAAAAAGAGGCAGTGACAGGATCTGGCCCGCAGGCTGCAGTTTGTGACATCCTATTCCTGTAAGTGAATGCATAGGTTTCCGTGGAAACTCACATTTTCCCTTACAGTAACGCGGGAAATACCATGGGTATATGATTATTTGTGCAGCAGCAGAGTTGCTGCCAAACAATTTACTGCACGTAATGTGCTTGGGACAGTGCCTAACAATTTCATTATTATTGTGGCACTAAGGTCAGAAGCCCAGCTAAAAGTCAAGACCAAGGTCAAGTTCTGGACCCGTGGAACTGTAGCCCCACCTCCAATACCGTGAGTCTTTGTGGGATTAGACTTCCGCCCCGGTAGCTAACATGGCCACTGGTCTGCGCTCCTACTCAGGAATCTCGCGAGAATCTAGAAATAGGCAAGGCTAAAACCATAGAGCGTGATTGGCCATCTCAGTGCGAGAGGTGGGACGACAGGCGTAATGGTGGCCTCAGATTGGTCAGTGCGGTCTGAGATGGTAAGATAATTACCCTTAGGCCAGTGGAGAAAGGGGCGGGGAAACGCGAGTGATACCTCAGCAATTGGCAGGCGTGGTGGGGTGCGACGCTTGTGATTGGTCTACACGGCCATGCGTGTCTTCGTTCAGGCATTGGCCGAGGGGTAGGATGTCGGCCTTTTATTGGATGACATCTCTCAGGGCGGGCAAAGCGGAGCACCGAGCAGTCAGCACATCCCGGGGGCACGATTGGTCGCGCCGGGCAGGCTGGCCCGGAGCGCCGGTTCCTGCATCCCCCGAGCGCGATGGCGTCGGGCGGCTGGCGCTGGCTGCGTGGCCTGTGGGCCGTGGGGCAGCCCATGTTCCAAGGCCGCGCGCTACTCTTTACCAACACGCTGGGCTGCGGCGTTCTCATGGCGGCGGGGGACGGCGCGCGCCAGTCCTGGGAGATCCGCGCCCGGCCCGGCCAGAAGTTCGACCCGCGGCGCTCAGGTGAGAAGGCCGATGCCGCTAGTCCTTGACCCCAGGGGACCTTTGACCCGACCTCAGATTTGGAAACCCCGGGACCGTACCCTCGGGCCATGACCGAGGACCGAGCAGGACCCTGGATCTCCGCGAGCACCCTGTAACCTGACAGCCGCTGACAGCCCCTGTCCGGGTCTCCCCTCCCACCCGGGCCTCTGCCCCATCCCTTTCCCAGTCTCCATTTCCTCCAGCATGGAGGAGGGTGTCCATCCACTCCCACCCTTCGAGTCTGGTCCTCTCCCACCCCTACATCTGCATCCCTCCCCGCTGCATTCAGGGGTTGAGCACTCAGCCTGGGAAGCTGCGCCCCGGGTAGTCAAGGACCCATGGTGGCGGGACCCCCGGCAGCCTGGGAGTGTGCCCTGGCCTCAGGTTTCCCTTTCTGCTGTGCTTCGGTTTCCTTCTCTGGAAATAGGGGTGCTGGTGGAGTCCTCTCGCAGGGGGGTGAAGGGATGAGGTGAGGTGTAAAAGCAGCCCCTGGAAGGGTGCCTGGCAGTGGGAGAGGATCCGGGTGGTCTCGGGAAGGGTGCCGGGCTTACCCAGGGAGAGAGTGGAGGGGGAGGTTTCAGGTACTGACCTGCCCCCCCCCCCCTTGGACTGCCCTCAGTGAGCATGTTTGCTGTGGGCTGCAGCATGGGCCCCTTCCTACACTACTGGTACCTCTGGCTGGACCGCCTGCTCCCTGCGTCCGGCCTCCGTGGGCTTCCGAACGTCCTCAGGAAGGTTCTCGTCGACCAGCTGGTGGCCTCTCCCCTGCTGGGTGTCTGGTACTTCTTGGGTAAGGAGCCTCGTAAGCTGAGCTTTGTAAAGCCCCACAGGCCAGGAGGGGCAGAGCAGCCTGTGTTAGGGGGGGTGCACCTCCCTTGGTGGGTGGTCCTGGACTGGAGGCCGGTACCTCGCGGGGGCAGGTGTGAACGGGGCAGGTGTGAAGGCGGGAGCACAGACAATGGTACTGAGGGCAGGAGGGATGAGGACAGTGTCTGACGGGGCTGCCCTGGGGGGAAGGGTTGGAAGGGGTTCCCAGAGGGAGGAACTCGGCTGAAACTTGAAGGAGTCAGCAGGTAGAGCAATAGCCTGAAGGAAGAAGAGCTGAGCCTGAGGTTTGATGGGTCAGTCACCCCAGCCTTTGCCTCTAGGAAGAAAGTCCTCCCCTGTTCCCCACCCCGCAGGCTTAGTTTCCTCCTGTGGGAAGGACAGGTAATAAAAGCCTGAGCATCAGGAAGGGTGTGTCCTCTGTCCCTCAGGTGCACCTGCCTCCCTCGCTGTGTTTCTCCCACCTACCACACTGCTGAGCGGGCCTTTAACTGTCAGGTTCCTCTGCCTGGGGCAGTTGGCTCTCAGGGGTCCTTCCCCTGGGGCTCCATCGTCTGGACTCCCTCACCTTTGACACCGCATCTCTTCCCCAGGTATTGGCAGCCTGGAGGGCCAGTCCCTGGAAGAGAGCTGCCAGGAGCTTCGGGACAAGTTCTGGGAATTCTACAAGGTGGGCATGTTATCCCGGGCCCCGCACGCCCCGTTCATTGTCCCCCCCCCCCCCCCCCCCCCGCAGCTCCCGGGCCCCACCCTTAACCCCACTCTGTGCCTCCCCGCAGGCTGACTGGTGCGTGTGGCCTCCTGCGCAGCTGGTGAACTTCCTCTTTGTGCCGCCCCAGTTCCGAGTCACCTACATCAACGGCCTGACCCTGGGCTGGGACACGTACCTTTCCTACCTGAAGTACCGGGTGAACGCAGGGGCCAGACCGGGCGCCCAGGAAACTGCTCGGGGGCCACACATGTGAGCCCCACGTGGCAGTCCAGCTCCCCTCCGGGGCGAGGGCCTCCGGTGCCCTTGACAGTCCGCACCCCCGGGTTGGCAGGCGGAAGCTGATCACCGGCAGAGTGAAGACCGAGCCCCTCAGCTGTCTAACGGGACCTTAGCCGGGTCCCTGCCTCATCTTTTCAGTGAGGCTGACTCCAACCCCCAGACAAGTGGAGAGCTTGGTGAGGAGCCTGAAGGAAGGGATGGATGGGGCGTGGGGACAGATCCCAGGCTCCCTGACACCCCCAGCAGGAGTGGCCCGGTGCCGACTGAGTTGCCCCACCCCCTCGACTAGATGCCAGCTGACCACCCACTGGGTGGGAAGGGGGATGGGCCCAAAGCAGGGCAGGGTCCTGGGCTGAATTCTAGCCCCACCTCCACTCCTGGGCACCTGCTGGGCTGCCCCTTCCAAGCCCACGACCAGGCCTTAGTCTTCCTGGAACCAACTGTGAAGATGGACAGTCATCCCCCAGGTCTTCTCTCCGGGAGCCTCTGACCAGGATGTCCCACCGTTAGCACTGGGCCCCCGCCCCCCGCCCGCCCCAGCCCTCTAAACGAACCGGTTCGGCTCAGTGGATAGAGCGTCAGCCTGTGGACTCAAGGGTCCCAGGTTCAATTCCAGTCAAGGGCAGGTTCCTTGGTTGCGGGCACATCCCCAGTAGGAAGTGTGCAGGAGGCAACTGATCGATGATTCTCTCTCATCGATATTTCTAACTCTAACCCTCTCCCTCTCTGTAAAAAAAATCAATAAAATATATACTAAAAAAAAATTACTGGGCTCTGAGCCCTGGGGACATTGCCGTCCACTCAGCAGGGCCTAGCCTGGAGCCAGCCCCCAGGATCCGGAGCTGGGCAGCACCAGGGTCATGTTCTGGTTGTGGGCTGTGGGACCTTCATTAAACTCTTTGTGTCATTGAAAGTCTCACAGATCGCCGAAACCGGTTTGGCTCAGTGGATAGAGTGACGGCCTGCAGACCGAAAGGTCCCGGGTTCGATTCCGGTCAAGGGCATGTACCATGGTTGCGGGTACATCCCCAGTAGGGAGTGTGCAGGAGGCAGCTGATCAATGATTCTCATTGATATTTCTAACTCTATCCCTCTCTCTTCCTCTCTGTAAAAAATCAATAAAATATATAAAGTCTCACAGATGACCACAGCCAGCGCTGGCAGGCAGCACTCGTAGACACAGCATCGTCCATCCGTTTTATTGGGTGTGTGTAGTGTTGTCATGACATCTCCTGGGAGAACTGGGAGCACATTTGACACTCATGACGTCAGGCCTGTGGGGGTATTCCCAGGTTCGCTGCAGCCCCCGCTTAAAAATAAAAAGTAAAACTTGGGGCCAGGAGCCGGGCGGGCCATTGTCAGGCTCTGACCCATCCATCCTGTGGTCCATGCCAAGATCCCACTGTGGCCCAGGGCTGACAGACCTGGCTACCTTACATCACCTGGCTACCCTGCCCTCCGGTGTCACTGGCCCTCCTTCAGAACTGAGAACTATAGATGGGGTGACTTTTTAAAAAGGGGGGTCTGGAGGAGAGGAGGAGTGGTGAGTTCGCGGGGGAACAACACGCCACGGCAGAGCAGAGACAGGGCTGTATGTACAGGGTGGGGTGCAGGGGGTGGTGGTGCCAAGCCCCCGGGGGATCTCGCCAATAAATAAATAAATAGCTACAATAATAAATAAGGGTGACGGGCTAGGGCTAAGTCGGGGCTGGGTCTTGTGCCCGTGGTCAGGAGGGGCCTGGTGGTGGTTGGGGAGAGCAGGGCGGGGGTGGGTGGGCCGGCTCTCAGCAGGCGCAGTCCTGGTGTGGGGGCGCCTGCTGGTCCGTGAGCTGTGGGCCCTGCTTGGCGCCTGTGACGGCAGGGTCCGCTGTGTCCAGTGACTCGGACATCTTCTCACAGATGACGTCCACCAGGCGCTCAAAGGTCTGCTTGACATTAATGTTGTCCTTGGCACTTGCCTCAAAGAATTCAAACCCTGTGGTCAGGGAAAAAGGGGTGAAGACCGTGGGCCCCCACTCCCAAAGACACTTCCCTGAGGTCAGAAATAACGAGGTTCCTAGTGCCTGCTGCACCATAAGGCACTGGCAAGGAACATGGGGAAGTAACGTTTAACTGGGTGTCTGCACTCCATTCTTCACCCTAAAACTGTCCCTTTGTTGGCCCTGGCTGGTTAGCTTAATTGGTTAGCTCAAATGGTCGCCTTGATATGCCAGACTTGTAGGCCTGATCCCCAGTCAGGGCACATATAAGAAACAACCAATGAATAAATGGCAGCAAAGTGCTGTTTCTCTATCTCTACAAAAAACAAAACAAAATACACACAAAACCCCTTCTCATTGTCTCCCAGGCCCTGGTAAGACCCACCACCTGACCCAGTCCCATACACTGCCCCTGGTGTCATCTGCCATTCAAATCCAGCCATGCCTGTTCCTGCTCACTCCCTATTGCCCTAGGAAGAGCCCAGCTCTTCAGCTTGTGGTCAGACCCTGCATCAGTGGCCACAGTTCACCCCGACTAGCCTCATGTTGCAACTGTGTAAAAGTGTTTGCCAAAATGCATAGCGTCTCCCACTCTGTCCTCTGCCCAAGCTGTTTCCTCTGCCAGAAGGCCCGCCCTTTCTTAAAGAACCAGATGCAGTGTCCTTCCTCCACGAAGCCTTTGAGGCAACCCCCACTGGACTTGCCCAGCCCTAGTCCTTATATTCCACAAAGCTGGAGGCCCAGCAACACCCGCAATGAGGCTGGGCAGCAAGAAAGTGTAGAATGAATCAGTAACCCCCTGCGCAGGGAACATAAATCTACCCAAGACTCAGCCTGTAGGTGTCCAGCCCCTCCGGGCACTCACCAAGGTGGTCGGCCAGCTGCCGGCCGCGTTCGGATGACACCACCCGCTCATCCTCCATGTCACACTTGTTCCCCACCAGCAGCACCTGGGCATTGTCCCAAGAGTAGGTCTTGATCTGGGTTGACCTGGACAAGAAGGCAATGGGAGGTTGGGGCTTGGAGGATCTGAGCCCCAGTCCTTCACCCCTCCCCAGCCCCTCAGCTCCCCATTTCCCTTGAACCTGGCAGGTTCAGTTTCTCCTCCAGCCTCTGTCCTGCCAGAAACACCCTGCTGTCTGTGGGTGTCTGTTTCAGCAGCTCCCTGATCTCCAAAGTCTTTCACCTTCCCAGATCCCTGCCCCCAGAGACAATGTCTCTCTCCTCAGCAAAACCAGAAATTTTCTTAAAATTTATCATTACTTGGGGGCAGAAATGTAAATGTGTAAGTCCTTTAACCTGTGTTAACTGTCCTTATATTTTCTGTTCTTCCCTCTCCCCTCAGATTTTTTTCCTCTATGTTTAGTTTCATTTTTCCACCTGAAATCTCTCTCTCTCCCTCTGTTATTTTGAGCCTTGCTATTCCTAAGAAGACAGTTTGAGGAATAATGAGGCAGAGGCAGCAGTGGAGGGAGACAGAACAGGGTGGAGGTATCAAAGGGACAGACCTGCTGTTTCAATGATTATAGACTGACAGCAGGCCTGGGCCCCCAATATTGTTCTTTACATATCTGCCAAGGGACTGGGGATCCCTCATCCGCCTACCCACCAGGCTTTGCAACAAACCCAGCTCAGAAGACAGTCTGAGAGAAGGGGTAAGGGGGTGCTCACCAGTCCTGCACAGCATTGAAGGACTCCTCGTTGGTGATGTCATACATGAGGATGAAGCCCATGGCACCCCGATAGTAGGCTGTGGTGATGGTTCGGTACCGCTCTTGCCCTGCTGTGTCCTGAGGAAGAAGAGGCAGGGTCAGAGAGGACCCACATGCAAGTTCTTCGGTGGAAATGAGCTCTGAGACAGTCCAGTCCAGCTCTCGCGAGACCCAGAGCTTGCCCAGAGGCACAGGGGGCCAGGGAGAGCCAGCCAGCCACCTGCACCAAGAATGTGTGCTCATTCATCCTATAGAGTCCAGCACCGGCAGAACTGTCCCCTCATTCATCAATACACGTGGACAGAGCACTGCCCTGTGCCATGTTCCACACTGGGCACTGGGGGCACAGCTGTAAAAGTAGATAAAAACCACTGCCCTGTGGGACTGACAGCTCAAGGCAGGAAACAGAAAATAAACACATGGAAGAAAATGTATATATGTCAGGGGGCAGTAAGGACTGAGGAGGAAAGTCGTGTGGGCTGGGGCAGGTTTTAAAAACCTGAAGGGAGCATAGCCAGGCCAAAGATGTCAACATGGGACTGCTCTGTGGGTTTGAGGAATAATGAGGCGGAGGCAGCAATGGAGGGAGACTGGGTGGAGGTAGCACAGGGACAGGCCAGGCAGGGTCTCCTTTGCCAGGGTGGGGTTTGGGGTTTACCCTGTGTGAGGTAGGAGCCCATGGAAGGTCCTTCAAATCTCTGAGGGGTTGTGGGAGGCAGCCAGTGACCTGTCCCAGGCAATGAGGTTGGGGGCCAACATCTGGTGAAACCTCAAACAGACTCACATGGAAGGACTTGCCAACGAAACTGAGGCCACTCAGTGATGCTCCTGCAGATATCAGGAAGATACGTAGGAAGAACCCAGCCTTGCTCATCCCTCAGCCCTGGAGAGCACTATTTAAGCTCCAATGGAAGAGGAGGGACTCTCTTCTGTGCCTTTGGTACCCCGTACGCACATGGTAAATGCCCAGTTTTGTGAATGAATGAAAGAGACAGGCAAAGCTGGGGCTGTTTTTCCGGGAAGGGAGGGAGAGTGATGGAGCTAGGAGCCCCCCAGCTGGACCCACCCAGATCTGCAGCTTGATCCTCTTGTCATTGCGGTAGATAGTCTTGACCTTGAAGTCTATGCCCACAGTGCTGACAAAGGCGGGAGTGAAGGAGTCGTCTGCATAGCGGAAGAGGAATGATGTCTTGCCCACACTGCTGTTACCAATGATAAGGATCTTGAACATGTAGTCAAAATTCTGGTCGGAGGACTCCTTCTGTCCATAGCGAGAGTCTGTGGCTGACGCCATCTGGGAATGTGGGGCACAGGCTGGTGTGAGGGGTCCTCTGCCATCCCCAGGCCCAGGACCGGGATGGAGAAAACTCTAGAGTCACAGGGAGGAACCAGCATTCCGCCAGAAGCCCCAGTACAACTAACTGTGGAACCCAGGGAAGAGGGCTGATGTGACCTTGAAAGGTAGGGGAAGGGGAGTGTATTTCAGGAAGGAGTTCAGAGAAGCCCGGATGGGGACACTCCTACAGCCCCTTCCAGCGGACCTGTGCCCGAGGTCAGGCTGTAACCCTACACCCTATTGCCCGGAGGGGGTAACTGCGGCCGGCCCCGCCCCGCATCTATCATTTATGTTCCTCAGAACCCAAAGCGGGCACACCTGAACAGTCCGCCTGGACGCAAATCTGCAGCCCCAATTCCAGGCTGGGGGAGCTCAAGCTGAGGCAGCTGCATCACGTGATAGGGGTGGAGCGTGCACACTCTCACATGCACACATCAGGGCATACACCGGTAAACGTTGTGCACATGAGAGGCGGACACACTCGGAACACAGAACAGAGACGCAGACACCTGTCTGCACACCGGCATGCATATACAAAGGTGCAAACCCATGCGTGCATACGGCGCCCTTCACACAGGCAGGTGCGTGTACGTAACCCACACAGGCACGCATTCCCTTGTACGTATGCACACAGCCGTGCACGCACACGCACAATCCATGCGTTTCTCTCCACAAGCGTGCAGCAAGGACATATTTGGGTCAGGACCCACACGGAGTCACGCGAGCATACTGAGGTGCATGCAAGGGTGCATACAGACCCGCCCACACAGGCGGGCGCGCACACGCGTGTGCACACCCCGCGCACGCGCACGCAGTTTCCCGCAAGGCCCTCGCCTCCCCTCCCCCTCCCCCTCCGCCGCAGAGGAGGGGGTGAGAAGGATGAGGGTAGGCCAGGCGAAGAGAGCCAGGGACCTACTCCTCCCCAGGCCGGCGACTACCTCATCCTCTGTCTATTTAACGCCCACCAACCTCGTCCCCTAACCCTGCCAGTCCATCACCCAAATGAAGTTTATTCAGATGCTCTCAGCGGGAGCGCACCAGGCCTCCCAGGAGCTCACCTTGCTCTGCACCGATGCGGTGACGACCACAACAACGGCGACTTTTTTGGCAATGGCGGTGAGGAGCCTCCCGTGTGAGGATGGAGGGCTGCGCGGCAGCAGCTTGAGCCCCTGCAGTCTGCGGTGACGTCCTGCAAAGAGCGGGGCGGGGCCTCACATGCAGATGCGGCCGTGACGCTATCGTGGGGCGGGGCCGCGCTGGAAGAGGTGGCCCATTAACGCCCTCAGAGCTGGAAGGGGCGGGACTCTTACGCAGATTGACGCACGAATGGGGCGGGACCCAGCGTGCGCATCCAGTAGCGGGCGGCAACGTCATGGGGGGGCGGGATCGCTTTCCGGCTCCGCCTCTTATCAGTGTCATGGAGGAGGGGCTGCGCAGCAACCTCTAACTGGCTTCAGCATTGGAGCGATGGGCCGATTAGCCAATCGGTGGTTATTATCTTCCTCCATCTGTGCATTAGTGGCTCCCGAGCGGTGGGTGACGAGGCCGAGGCCTGAGGGGGTCCGGGTGTTTTGGGGGCGTTCTCCTTCCCCACCACCGCTCACCCCAGGTGGGGACACTCTGGTGGCCCCTACCCAGACCAGGAAGCTGGGTTCTCTTGTCAAACCCCCTCTCCTGTCCAATTTTAGAAAAGAGAAGCAGAGGTTGAGAGCTGATCCTTGCCTCCTATTTATAGGGTTCAAAAAAGTACAAAAGAAAAAGCGGAAATAGGAGTTGAGAGACCCCGTCCATTTTCAGAGATGAAAGACCCCAACGTGGGCTGGGCTGATAGATGCACCATGGTCCCTGGTGCTGAGATGAAATAAGAAACAGGGACCAATAGAGTCACCCTCCCCACCATTTCCCAGAAAAAGGAAAGGGGTGATGGACGCCCCAGCAACCCCACTCCTGCCTGACCTCCATTTTCCAGAGGAAAATTCTAAGAAAAGACAGAAATAGGGCAGAGAAACTGCCTGACCCCTCTACCTGCAAAGCCGGGAGCAAGGAGCTACCAGCGAGGCTTAGACACCCAGCAATGATGACGCGGAGCTGGAAGAGGCTTCTCCCCTCCCTGTTCCGAGTTAAAGACAGGGCCGGAGAGAGCCCCCCTCCATCCTGGGAAACGACCCAGAGTGAGACTCTGGGGCCTGAGACGCTCCATCGCAACCCCCTCCCCCACCCCCACCCCTAAATATTGAGGCGGAGGAATCAGAATTGCGGAGAGTCCCCAGTAGGGGGTGTGCAAGAAGCAGCTGATCGATGATTCTCATCGATGTTTCTAACTCTCTATCCCTCTCTCTTCCCCTCTGCAGAATTGCGGAGGGGTGGGAGGAGATACCCGGCGCTCATTCCAAGTCCCAACCCCAACCCCCTCTGGGAGAATCCTCATTCCCCTAATTGACCCCAGGAGGCGAGGATGGGGAGAGGCTCGTCCTGTTTATAAAAAGCTCTCCAGCTGCGGAGGCAGGAGAAACCGGAATAACTTTGCGCCTGGAGACCGCCCCCTCAGTCCACGCCTGCCCTTCCCCCCTCCCCGCGCCCTGGAAGTGCAGAATGCCCTCCTGCTCTGCTTGCATCTGGGAAATCTGTTTTACTTACGGGTAACATTTTTGTCCATCTCCCCCACTTAGACTACAAGAGTATCACAAACCCACTGCAGAGAATTGTGAACATTCAGGAAATAGATACATAAATAAATAAATCCACCCCAGGTTCCCTGCACACAAAGATGGCCGTAGAGTCCCAGGCTGGTCCAGGAACCCAGTGGGAGGATGTGTGAGGCCACTTGGCTCCCTGACCCTCCTGCTTTCCGCTTCGTGTGTGGGTGGCACTTGGAAATACCTGCTTTTTCTCAGGGGAAAACACCCCAACAATGTGCAACAGCTTCTGCCCAAATTTGCATTTTAACATAAAAATCACGCAAGGCCTTTCTTCCTAAGAATCAGCATTTGGCTCTGGTACTAGAGATGGTGGATTGGGGGGGAGGGGAGATTTGTGTTTGGGGTGGTGTCCTGTCTGGCAGAAGAGACAGAGCTGGATGGGAGAAGCACCCCAAACCCTCCCAGGTCCCGCCCCACTCAGCAAAGTCCAAACTCCTCCCTGAACCCAGGTCCCACAAAGTCCCCACCAGTTACCCCCATCTCATCTTTCTCCTCCAGTCAGACACGCCTCCACTAGTTCCAGGTGTGATCCGGCCTCAGGGCCTTTGCATCTGCTGTTCCCTGTGCCTAGAGCACTTTACCCCTACCCCAGCTGTCCCTTCTCCTTGCTCTCGCATCCTTCATCAGGTTGATCAAGCCCTATCTCCTTCCAGAGGTTCCAGTTTCACCCTGTGGATTTCTATCATAGTTTTCTTTCCTGACCCATCAGAAATGACTATGTTGATGTGTTTATCCATTAGCCATCTATGAGCTCTGAGAGTACCTACACCTGTGACACAGTAGGTGTCCTATGATGGTATGACAGGAATGAATGAATGAATGAATGAATGAATCCAGGGAGTTAGGAAAGACCTCTCAGGGGAAGTGACTTATGAGCAGGAACCTGAAGGAGGAGGAGGAATTGGCCACAGAGAGAATGAGGGAACAGCCCTGAGGCTGGAGCGCACTGAGCATGCTGAAGGGGCAGCTCCTCTCCAGTTCTGTGAGGGAGGTGAGCAGGCAGCTTTTCCCCCTTAACGGAAGGCAAACTAAGGCCCCGAGAGTCACCCTAAGGGGCCATAAGAACTAAGTGTTCCGAGGGGCCCTCAAGACTTTCTCCGCCCTCCTCTTTGGGTGTAGGGTGGGCACCAAGGCGAGGACCCTGAACAGCATAACATGGGGGACGTGGAGTCACCCCTTCTGTGGACCTCAGTTTCTACATCTGTGAAATGGAAGAAGAAAGAGGCCACGTTGATTTGCACTTTGAGTATGTGTCTCAGGGCCGAGCTCAGGGCATGCCTTCCTCAGATGTTACCTGTTATTGTGATTATGTGACACTCACCAAGAGCCCTCTTTATCCATGGAAAGACAAAGGCCTCAGGAGGCCACGGGACTTGTTGAAGTTGTCGAAGTCCATTTTGGTTTGGGGACACTGAAGATGGTGCAGTGGGCCTGGCCCAGGCATCCCGGGGTCATGGTCTGGAGAGAGTGACGGACGTGAATCAAAGAATTCTCCAGAGCTTCCACCAGTGCCAGCCTGGAGTGGGGTGTTAGGGAGGATCTCCCAGAGGAGAGCTCACTGAGCTGAGACCCAAAGGATGAGGGTGAAGGAGAAAAGAAACATCCCAGGTGGTGGGCAGAGCATGTGCAAAGGTCCTGAGGTGGGGCTGTGCTTGGGTGTGGAAAGCCAGAGTGGGTAGAGTGCAGTCAGTAACAGGGAGTGAGAGGGATGCCTGTAGCACAAATTCAAGGGGAATATACTAGCATTCTCATGAATGGATGAAGAAAAATCCAGAGGGAAATAAGGTGAAATGCTGAAGATAGGTGGTTTATGAGTGAAGTCATAACTGAATTTTATTTCCTTCTTATGTTTTCATTGTTCCCAAATTATCTAAGGTGAGCATGCATTACTTGTAAGGAAAGGGGCAGAGAGCAAAACTGTAAATAATCATTCCCTTAAAAAAAAAATTGACCCTAACTGGTTTGGCTCAGTGGATAGAGCATCGGCCTGCAGACTCAAGGGTCCCAGGTTCAATTCAGGTCAAGGGCATGTGCGTTGGTTGCGGGCACATCCCCAGTGGGGAGTGTGCAGGATGCAGCTGATTAATATTTCTAATTCTCTAACTCTCTCCCTTCCTCTCTGTAAAAAAGTCAATAAAATATATATTTTTTTAAATTTGCCTTTTAAAGATCTGGAAGCAAATGCACCAAGTTCATGACCCAAATGACGTTTAATTTTCCCTCTGTGGACTGTCATCAATAACTGAGATTATGAATTATCAGTGGAGTAATTTAGTAATGGAGGGAGCTGTTCTGGAAGCCAGAGGATGCTGGGAGACCTGGGTCACACATACATTTTTAGGCACGCTGGGAAGGAGACAAGTTCTAGGGTGGAATACGGAACCTTCCGGAGACAGTAATGGAACCTGACACTGGAACACAGAGCGGCCTATCCATCCCTGCCCTAGGCTGAGCTCCAACCAGCGAGATGCCAGAGGGGAAGCCAACCAGGAGAACAGGACCCCCCCATGCGCTGCGCCTCCCGCCGCCAGGGGGCGCCGCTAGCTAATGTCCAGCACCCAGCAGCGTAGCGTAGGCAACGGGACTGCTCTGTGCCTCAGTTTCCTCATCCATGAAACAGTCATACTAGTTTAAGTTAATAAGGATTTATTTAACTTCAGAGAAACGTTCACTGCCCCAGATTCCTAAGATTTTTCAGGGTGGTCACAGACACTACCTCCAGAGCCAGAGTTGGGAGTGGACAAAGCTTTTCCCCATATAAGGTCCCCATTCTCCTGCAGGGAGCTGCCCAGCAGATGAAAGGGCAGTGCCTGTTTGGGGGGGGGGCATCTCCTTGGGGCTGACTCCTCACCCTGCTGCACAGGGCTGCCCCAGGGGCACAGAGCAGGCTCAGGCCTGGCACACAGTATGTGCCCAATAAATATCTGACAAAGAAGGAAAGAATAATAATAATAAAGGATGAAAGAATAAGTGATGGGTGTGGCTCAAGAGTGACCACTGGAGAAGTTGGGCCTGACCCAGCGCCAACGTCAGAGCTGACGCTGGCGGAGGACGCTCAGCAGAGCCAGCTTCCATCCCGAAACCTGCCTGGAACTGAGGCTGTCTCCCGCCGTGTGCCATGAGTCATCTGGGACCGCGTCCTGGAAAGTCCCCCCCCTCGTTAGGGGCCGTTAGGAGCCAGATGGCTCAGCCGTTACGTCGCCCTCCTGGTCCACGCAGGGCTTGCCCACGGTCCTCTGGCTGTCTAGGCATAAGGCCCCAGGGTCTGAGCCGGCCTCAGGGGACGGGAGGTCAGTGCCAGGTGACGCGGAGGCCTCCTGAGCCAGCATTCTCTCCTCCTCCTCTTCCTCCTCTTCTTCCTCCTCTTCTTCCGCCTCCTCCAGAGTCAGCTCGAGCTGGCATCTGTCGAGGCTGCCCTGCTCGGGGCAGGCGGGCTCCGCGGGGCTGCGGGGGATCTTGCTCAGGTACCACTCGCGGTTGTCCTCCAGTGTGTCCAGCAGGCCCTGGGCATCTGGGTGCACCAGGTCCGCCCAGGTCTCCCACAGCGGGTGGGCGATGTAGTCAATGAAACCCACCTGGGGGCGATACGGGTGGGGTGGGGGAGGAGGCTGTGCTGAGTCACCATGGAACCCAGACCCCGTTAAACCTCCAGGTTCTCTCTCCCAGGAATGCCCTTTCCCAACTCCTACTCATCCTTCAAAGCCTTCTTCAAATAACCCCTCTTGGCTCCCCCAACCCCTAAGTCTTTCCTCCCACCCCAGCACAGACCCTCAGGGCTAGGTGTATGAGTCCCAGACTAAGAGCCCCTGCAGGGGCCCCACACCACTCAGAATAGACATTTCCAACCCCCTTGAGTGCAGGTCCGTCTCCCCGTAGCCCAGAGAGAATGGATCCCTGCCTGACCCCACAGCCCAGGGCAGACCACGCCCTTGGGCCTCAGTCCCTCGTTGACCAGCCAGGGGGTCAAGCCAGAATTCATGGGGTCGGCTCAGCTACGCCTTTGCCTCCCCCTCCCCGGTGCCCGCCAGCCTGGCCCAGTCACCCTCTGACCTGGGACTTCTCCACCGAGGCTGTGTGCTTGTCACACATGGGGCTGATGTCCAGGCCCGACTCCCGCTCGCGGTCGCCCTGCTGGAAGAACTCGGCCATGATGCGGTCTGTCCACTGGCGGTACAGGGGCAGCGGCTTGGTGGGGTTGCTGAGGTCGGCACAGTGCACCAGGTTCTGCAGGACCTGAGGAGACCATCCCAGGCCCGGTGAACCCCCGCTGTCAGGCCGGTACCTTGGACACACCCCTCTCCCAGGTGGGGAACGGAGGCCCAGGAGGGGAAGAAGTGGCAAAGGCACAGTCACGTGAGCCTTTCTGCCTCCGTTTCTTCAAACTCGCGCACAGGCGACGCTTCGTAAGTGCAGTTGAAGGAGCGGCGTGGGGACCCAGGTCCTCCCGGCCTCGCACCTGGATGCGGTCGGAGTAGTTGTCCAGCAGCAGGACGCCCAGGCTCGTCACTTTCTTGGTCTCCACCATGGTCTTGAGGTCAGCCAGGAGGTTCATGTGTTTGGACATGTCGGTGGCCAGCACCTGAGGGCAGGGGAGGAGGGAATGACAGGGATGAGCACTGCTCCCACCCCGCCTCTTACTCCCGGACACCACACCCCTCAGCCCCTCGGCCCTCCGAGTTTGTGTCCTCATCTGTGAAAGGGGAGGGGGACGTAATGAGATTGGCTGCAAACCCAGCTCACAAGAGGAGCTGAGTCAGGGGTCCCCCCTCCAAGGTCTTTAGGCTCATGGGATGCACCCCACATGTTAAAGGGTCAGTGTGGGGGTGAGGGCAGCAGCGAGGCTCAGCCCAGGACATGCCTGGGCCAAGGCCCTGGGCTGGATGAGCTGGGGACACAAAGGGAGCACTTACGGCTGGAGCCAGTGAGGTGGACGGGAGCGGAGAGGGCCTCTGGGAGGAGGGGGACTTACCCAGAGGGCCATGGGAGCCATAGGCGGACTTGAAGCTGGGAGGAACCTGACCTGGTGCTTCCCAAACCTCCCTGTGGCCACGTGTGCTTGGGAGGGCTGTTTTCAGCACTTTGGAGGGAAGTTTGGCCCCAAACACAACTGTGTTTAAAAATCAACTTCTCTGGATCCATATGGGCCCAGCCCAGGAATAACAAAATCCCAGCCCAGGGGTTTCTCTGAGAATCAGACAGAAGTCTCAAAACTTTTCCCCAAACCTCCAGTCAGCCCCCGAATGATGCTTCTCCCCAAGGCCCCACCCCTGTCTCACCACATTTCTAGTTTCTCTTCCCTGGGAGCCCGCCCCACATGCTGTTCTGTTTGCTCCTCACCAGCTCCTCCCCTCCCCACTCTGCAGACTCCAATTTCAGGGTTTCCTCTCGGGGAAGCCCTGGCGGACCTTGAACATGGCCCCATCACAGCTCTGCCTACACGTCACCCATCACAGCTCTGCTTTGGGGTCCCCACTGCCGCTCCCACCCACGTGTCCGCCTCCCTCACGAACTGTCATCTCAGAAAGGCCAGAACCGCCTTGGCCGTTGTGAAGCTCACAACAGGTGTTCAACAAACGCTTATAAAAGTGACTGAACGAGGCCCAAGACCCCAAAACTTACTGGTGTCTTCCAGAAAAACACCAAAGGGACCCACCAAAGGCTCAGAAGAGTTGCCCCTCAGACCCCGGAAGCTGTTTCCACATGGCCTATGTGTGAACCTCGGCCTGGTCACCCCCCCAGGGCTGAGGGGGTCGGTGCCCCATTTCATAGCCCAGGAAGCTCAGGCGCAGAGCGGAGGCACGCCCAGACCAACCGGCGAAGACCGCCCCACCGGGTCCGTGGCCTCACTATGTCGATGGCCATCCTGCGCAGACTCAGCCACTCCTTGGGGCTGAGGTTCTGGAAGATGTTGCAGTTCTCCGCCTGCAGCAGCTTGAAGCCCACGGCCAGGTGGTGGTTCTCCAGCACGGAGGCGTCGTTGTACATCAGCGCCAGCTCCGAGTCTGCGGGAAGGCGGGGCGCCTCACCATCTGCCCCGCCAGCCCGCTTCTCCGAAAGGCAGGTGTGGTGAACTCTTGGCTGATTCCTACTCACACACTGAAGCTCCAGCCCTAATGCCCCCTCCTCAGGAAGCCTTCTATGACCCCGTGTCTCTCTCTCTCTCTCTCTCTCTCTCTCTCTCTATGGGGCATCTGTGGGGCTGGGGGCATCTGTGTTCTCCTCTGCCTCCTCGAGGCTGGGGTCTCCTTGGGGACTCGGCACGGCAGGAAAGAGTGTGAACTAAGTGCTGGCTGAATGAACAACTGAATCTTTGTCCAGTTAGACTCTGGGATCCCCAAATGAGAGGGCTCTCCTGGGATGTATACAAAAGGTGCCCAATAATTGCTTATTGACGGAGTTTTCCAGGTAACCTCAAAGGTCCCTAAACTTTAAAATCTCAGCGGGCTCAGATTAGTTCTGCCACATTTGTTATTCTCTCGTTTATTGAGTGTCTACTATGTACCTGGACCCGCTCTGAACACCCAAGGAGGAGAAGATTGTCACCGCCATTTCATGAACAGGGAGACTCGGCTGAAAGCAGGGATGGGAGCCACTGGAGATCCTATGATGGACAGGTGGAGGCAGGGCCCTCCCAACTCACTGGTGTTAATGAGAAACTGGTTGGAGACCCCGGGATGGTCCACATCGTGGATGGCGCTTGCAAAGATGGCAGCCAGGACTTCCAAGTCTGTGAACACAGCCTGAGCAGGCGCGGGCATGAGAGCTGAGGGGCGGGCCCTCTGCCCTGCACCCTGCCCCTGCCCCGCCTGCCTAGGGGACCGTACCTCCAGCGCAGGCATGGCCAGCAGCACGTGCGTGGACTGGGCCACGTCCGCGGCGTGCAGGCTGTTGTGGTAGGCCACGTCGGCGTGGTAGTGACCCTCCAGCGTCAGCAGGTAGGTGGCCAGCGTGTCCACTGGGATCTGGAATGTCTTGAGCAGGTCCCGATTCTGGTTCACCACAGGCCGCCTGTTAGGACCTCCTCCAGGCGGCGGCACGCACTGTTCCCGCACCTTCTCTCCTTCTGAACGCCTATCCCTCTCTCCCACGCCCCATCTTCCAGGATGCCCTCAGTTCCAGAATCACTTGGTCCTTGACCTTGCCCTCTGGACTGTCTCTGACCCCCACAGCAGTTCCCTCCAGACTAGATCTCTCCGGGCCTGGGTCCAGAGCTGAGGCCTGTTGGCTAACAGCAATGAACTGTTCAGCCTAGTGAACTCCTATGCATCCTTCAATGCCCTGCTCACAAGATTTCATTCAGGGTGTCAGGGAGGGGTTGAAGGGTGTGTGTGTGTCCCCTGAGGTCCTGAGGTAGGAAGAAATTGGTAGCCCAGGCCACGGGAGGTACCTGAAAGATGCTGAATATGACGGCTGTGAGGGGCCGGTTCCCACTGAGCTCTGCCACCTTGAACACATCCAGCCCCCACTTGTTGGTGTCTTCCAGCTCCTAAAATGTGAAGAACGAGCTTGGTCCGGGCCCAGCTTCCCCAGACTCTGAACCTGTGAGCCCCTCCCCCAGGTCTTATATCCCCCCACCCCCCACACTTGCCCGGAATACAAGTGGGCAAACTGGGACTCAAATAGAGCCAGAACCCTAACCCAGGGCTCAGCGTTCTAGCTGGGAACCCACCTTGGCCAGCTGCCCCTCCTGGTCAGTCTGGACCCCAAAGCGTGGGACGGTGGCTGCGGAGAGGCTGGCGCTGTGGGGGAGCCCCTGCAGGCCGCTGATCTGGGACATGGGCCTCGAGGGTTCCTTGGGGGTCCCCTTGGGCAGCTCCACCTCCGCCTGTTGGTCTGCATGGGGGGGGGTAGGACTCAGAGGAGCTGATTTGCCTGCTAGGGAGGTCCTGCCTGGTCTCAGGTCCCAGACTTTGCTAAGCCTCAGGATTGACCTGTTTCCTTTGTCCCTGGATCCCAGGCAGCTCAGAGCCAAGTCCCCATAGGGCCTGTAGCGACCCCTCTTTGTGGCTGATCTCAGGAACCTCTTCCGATGGACTTGGCCCCGGAGAGCCTGGGCTCAGTATTTCCCCCCAAGCAGCTCCATGTCCTTTCCAGCTCCCTAGATGGTTTCCTCCATCGCCTTCTTGGAAAACTTCTACTCATGCTTCAAAACCCTGGCGTTAATGTCCCCTCCTCCTGGATCTTCCTCCTGCTCCTCCCTCTGGTCCAACCCTCCTTCCCCCATGTGGCTGGGGGTGTCCCTGTCTGTCTGCTCTGCCTCCCCCTGACTGAGGTCTTTTCTTCTTTCTTCCTCCTTCTGTCTGTGGCCCAGGCAGGGACCCACCACAGCTCACCCAGGAAGGTCTGGGAAATGTACTCTGACACCTGGTTCCCCGAGCGGCTGGTCTCAGACAGGTGAGTCAGCTCCCGGTTCAGCATCCGCTTGAACTGTGGGGGAAGGTGAGGACGGTGATGAGGGGGCACTGCGGGGGGAGGCAAATGCTCTCCGCTCGCTGGCCCTCCTCACCTTGTTGGAGGCCATGTCCCCCACCGAGTGCCGGGTCTGCAGCGTCTCCAGCTGATCCAGACACCAGTCCAGCTCATCCAGTGTCTCCAAAGCCAGCTTCTGCCCAGTGTCCTCTGGGGGCTGAGCCATCAGAACCCTGCCCCACCCCACTCGGTGACCCCGCCCCTTCATGTCTCCATCTCTACATCTAGACCCTACAGCCCTTCCCAGCGGGGCCACTCGAGACCCCAGGAGTTGAGTCCCAGATCTGTCCCCAGTGGCGGTGTGGCCATGGGCAGGTCTCTGCCCCTCTCCGGACCTCAGCCTCCCCATCTGCCATGTGGGCATGGGAGACGCCATCCCTGAGGGTGTTTTGGAGGGTTGCGATGAGCACAGCCTAAGGATGTATGGGCTGGGAGGTGGCCATGGAGAAGAAATTGACCGTGGTCCCATAATGTGAGGGAGGGGCAGGAGCAGGAGAGTTACCTGTAGGCGGAGGGGGCTGGCTGGCAGGTGGAGGGCTCCCGATGGTTGTCTGCCTGCAGTACAGTCCGCTCTGGGGTGGCCTACCTCACCCAGATGGTCCCGCCCCATCCAGCCCGCCTGTCCACCGGCCCCGCCCCGTCCTCCCCGCCCTGCCCTTCTCCCTGCCAGGCCCCGCCCCCGCCCCCGCCCAGCCCCCTATGTACTTGGCTGCTCTTTGGCCTTGCAGGTGGGCTAGGGCAGCCACATTGCTCCGAACAGTCCGCAGACTGGCCAGGACCTGTTGGGAGGGGAATGATCGGCATTGGAAAAGGGGGGATCGATTCCACCTGCTTGCCTCAGGCAGGGGAGGGGGAGGAGCGGGCACCCACCTGGGCAAAGGGGGTCACAATCATGTCTTCTCCATGTCTGTGGGAAGACAGGACGTCAGAAAGGGCGGCCAGGGAGATGTCCCGTGGTCCCATCTAACGGCTTTTGCCCACACTGTGCCCTCCGCTGAGCACATCCTTCCTTCCCGACCTCTCCTCCCCGGCCCTATCAATCCCCAGCTCCCCTTACCCGACTCTTCCCTGAAAGCTACTACAGCCCCTCCCACCTCACTCATGGGGGAAGCAGGAATATTATTATATTTCCCCTTTTATTATGGCTACCAGGAAGGTCTCATTAAGGTATCTGTTCAGTTGCTATCATGTTTCTGGATTGCCACCCAACCCGAGCCTAAAGTCAAGCCCAGATCACCAGGTATCATTCTAGGCATGTTCAACTGAATAAGTGGCTGCCTGACAAACTCCTACTTAAACTTCAAAACCCAGCTCCAAAAGCCCCTTGAAGGAGGTGTGCTAAATGGAATAATAAAAGGAGGAAGAGACGAGTAGGTGTCACGCCACCAGCCCGACTCACAGGTCGCTGGCCACGGAGGAGTTCCGGGACATGGCCTTCGGCAAGAGGTCATAGTCGCTGTCGGAGCGGTACAGGAAGGACTCCCGCCGCTGGCTGTGTTGGGCAGGGGCGTGGATGGCCTGGCCGAGGCCAGGCCCAACGTGAGGGTCCTGAGCGCTTCTCTCACGCGAGAATGCATTTTCCAGGTCAAAGCTGGAAACAGATGAGGCAAGGTCAGAGCCGATGGCCTGGCAAGCGGGTGGCCTTTGGTGGCTCGATCCCGTCCATTCACATCCTCCATGGATGTGGGCCAGGGAGGAGCAGCTTACAGTGTGTCCGCCTGCCTCACAGTCACACCCCCACCCAGGGACCTGGCACCAGCCTTCCCGCTGGGACCAGTCTGACTCCAGGACGTGAGCTTCAGATCTGTCCCCAGATGTCTGTGTGACCGTGGGTAGGTCTCAGCCTTTCCCCGGACATCGACTACCCTGTCTCCAATATAGGCACGGCAGGGTCTTCTCCCCGGGCGCTTTTCTGTAGTTACAACTGAGCACCTGAGAATGACAACGGGGCTTCCATATTACTGAGAAGGAAACTGAGGTCCAGGTCGCACCGTAAGGTCACAGAGACTGGAAAGGGGCTTTCTGGGCCCTCCTCTCTGGAGGGGCCTGGGTCTTGCCTAAATCAGGCCAAGGTTCCCCACAGCCGGAGAGGCCCCGCCCCCAGCCAGTTGTGGTCACGCCCTGGGTCACCTGTTCCCTCCCCCAGTCCACACCCTCAGGGAGACCAAGACAGGACCATCAGCCCACTTGGCCCTGCCCCAACCTAGTCTACCACGCCCCCATGCCCATTACCACCCTCCACTCCCCACCCCCTAGATCCTTTACTCCCTGCTTCATTAACGCTCTGCCTCTGCTCTTCCACCTCCAGCTTCCGCTAGGGGCCATGCCCTCTTCCCGGAGCACCATCCTCCCCACAGCACCCCTGGCTCCGAGCAACCTTCAATTCCTCCCTTCTCGCTCTTTCAGCCCGGCCCCTCCCTCCCGCCGCACCCTGGCTGGTTAATGGAGAATCTGTGCTCATCCTCCTTGGGGTCAGAGGTCAGAGAAAGAGGGGGAGGGGACGCGAGCAAGAGCAGAGGTTCTGCAGCGGAGGGGCTGCTGGAGGTCACGGGCAGGGAGAGGGCAGGCAGGAGGCAGGCAGGCACCGGGGGCTTCTGGCCGAGGGTTCGTGTCCACCTGCTCCCCCGCCGACCAGGTCCCCCCGTCCGGGATTCGGCTGGATTCGGTCCGGCGGGGTCGGGTTTGAGTAAGTTCTATTGGGCCTGGTCCAACTGAGAGTTCGGTCGGGCGAGTTCTTTCCGACTTGGCTACGTCGGACCGCGCTCGGGCAGGTTCGGATGCGTTCGGGAACGTTCGGTTGTGTTCGGCAGGCTCCGGAGGATTCGGGCGCGCGGGGCTCTGTCCGGCCGCTCTCTCCGCGGCCCGTTCGGCTTCAGCCGAGAAGCCACCACCGCGCGTGCGTGCCGCCTGGTGACGTCAGGAGGGGCGGGGCTTCCGAACGCGGACCCGCGGGGCTGGGGGCGCGGGGCGGGCGGAGGGCGCTCTGCCGGGGAGGCCAGCGGCTGGCCCAGCAACCTGCCCTCCGAGCGGGAGGCCTGGGAGCAGCCACCCCTCTCCCTCCTCGCCTCTGGGAAAGCGCACCCAAGGGAGACGCACCTAGGGAGGCTGCAGCGGGAGGGGGGCGGCGGGAGGAGCGTAGGGAGGGTAGCAGGGTGCCGGGCTGGAATCCCAGGAGCCGGCTCTCAGGGTTACAGGCTGGTCACCGCCGGGGAAGTTTTGTTTTGGGTTTTTCTGCTCTAATCTTAGCTGCGAGTGGCGGGCCAGGCGGTGGTTCCATGACGCGGGCGGCGCGGTGCGAGGTCGCCCTGACTGTGGAAGCCGCAAGTCTGTCCATGGGTTAGGCAGGTAAACTGAGGCACGAGGGCCTCGGAGGGACCCGCCATCCCCTAGCCTCACCTTCTGGCTCCCGAGGGCGCTCCCTCAACGCCCCTGGGCAGGAACCGCCCTTAGCAGGCGTCTGGGGGCTCTGGGGGCGCTTTCCCGGAGCTGGGACCCCTTCCCGGGCTGCAGGGGCGCCGTCAGAGACGCCACCACGGCTGCCCCGCCCCCCCCAGCTGTCACCGGCCATTGGAAGGGACCTCCGGCGCCGGGTGCCACACTCTCCAGGGGTGTGAATGCTGCGGGAACCGCGCCGCGCGAGGTGCCAGACGGGCCGGCGCCCACATGTCCCACCTCCGGCCCTGGCCTCGCCCCCACACACCCCACTCAGTCGCTTCCCAAGGGGCGGGATTCGAACCCAGAGCGGTGGCCGATCCTCGGAGGACGCCGCCGAGTTGCCCTCGGGGATCCGCTCTCTGGGACGTGAAACTCCTCCCTCACGCTCTGGGCTCCTGCCTCCTACCCTGGGTCTCCCTCCGGGGCGGATGGAGGAGGGCAGACCAGCGGGGGTGACCCTCGCCCTCCCTCTCCCTCCCGGGCGCTCAGGTCGCTGCCCAGGCGGGAGGGTCCGGGGGAGAGTGAGCCCCAGCAGCCCCGCTCCGGGACGCCCAGCTGGGAAGGGGCGGGCGCAGGAGCCCGGCCTGTGTCCGGACCGCGGGTGGAGGGAGACCGAGACAGGACAGGGGAGACAGATGCCGAGCAGGGGCAGGAGGGGCAGAGCGCCCACGCCCTGCCCGGCCCGGCCCAGCTCTCCCCGGCTGTGTCCTCCCCACCTCCAGCCTGGCCTTCCGCTGCCCCCGCCGACTCGCCTCTCCCCTCACCACAGAGGATGGGCCACGGTGAAGCGCCGCTGCAGGCGGAGGCTCTGGTTCACCAGGAGCTTCCTGAAGAGCCCGGGGGAGCTGCGCGGGGAGCCCCGGGGGGAGCCCGGCCCCGGCGCCGGGGCAGGCGCGGGGGTGCCCTGCATCGCCGCAGGCAGCTCAGAGGCAGGACCGTGGAGGCAGGACCGTGGAGGCTGGACGGACGGACGGAGCGGGGGCCCTGAACCTTTTCTGGACGACCGCGGGGGCGGGGCCCCGAGAGGGGGCAGAGGGCGCCCCGCCCCGCCTCTCCGCTGGTCCCTCTGGGACGCTCCCACCCGGGGACATGGGGACCCTGAAGCCCGGAGCTGGGTGCCACTCTCTGCTCCCCTCTTTGGGGGCGGCCCTCCGGGGCCTAGAACCCGGATATCACTCTACTTTCGTCAGCCAGCCTGTCTCACAGGAGTGCAGCTGTCTGCGGAGAGTGCGATGTAGAAGCAGGAAGGGGAAGCACCCTCCACAGTGAGCGGGGCACCTAGGCAGGAGCCTGCTGAGGGGCTGCCCAGGTCCCACCCAGCCTCCAGTCCCTCTCTGCCCGTTTTCCAGATGGAGAAACTGAGGCCTGGAGCCTCAAAGGGGCTGCCTGGCAACAACAAACCCTTACTCCTTTGCCAGGTGAGGAAACTGAGGAAACAAGGTGGTAACAGACAGAAACTTCATGGCAGGGCAAAGGGCCGGAAGAGGCTCCTCCTCCAGGTCCCTCCACAGTCCCCTGACCCCCACCTGCTCTGACATACCCCAGGCCCTGTCTCCGGATCCTTTTCCCTCTCTTGCTGTCTCCACTGGACAAACATCCGCTCTCCACTCCAGCCAATCTCCTGTTCTGTGAAGCATCAGTTCTTCCCCACCCCCACCCCCCCACCCCCGCCCCAGGAAGGATCTGGGGTGTGTGTGTGTGAAAGGGAGCCCTCACCTCTGGGGTCTGGGAATTCGGGGGCCTGAACCAGGTGCTGGGTTGGGAGCCCTGCTCTGTACTGAGGGAAGGAAGCACATCTCAGAGGGTGTCACACTGGGAGGCAGGACCCCAAGTGCCCATATCACAGGCAGAGGCCACTGAGGTCCAGGGAGGCTGGGCCTCCCCGACCCCCCCACTGTCTAGGCCTTGCCTCTGGGAGGACTATAGCAGTTGTGGGGCACCCCCATTTCTAGGGAAATATGAGATAGGGCTTGGGGTGATCAGGGCTTCAATGGAGGGAGCCTGAGGCACCACAGGGAGGAGATCCTGACCCTCTCCTGACCTCCTAACCACGCTGTTGGCCTCATTGTGTAGATGAGAAAAATGGAGATTCAAGGAGGGGTCATGCTGGGGCCCAGGAGGACAAGGAGTCTCAAGGGTCTGTCCGGGAACCCCCTCCTGCCATCTGCGGCCCTTCAACCAGACACCTGGTGGGAACAGACTTGCTGTCCCCGAGACAAAAATACCCTCTGGAGCTGCTGCGGTTGCACCTAAATATAGCCGATCCCCGGGGGCTAGAGGCGGCCAGGATCCGCCTGGTGGAGACTCTGGGGCCAGGATCCCTCCCAGGGGCCTCGGCACCATCCCAGCTCCATGGGAGGGGCTTGCATAGTCTTTTGTCCCCTAGGAGAAACTGAGGCACGGAGGAATTCAGTCCCTCCCCTAAAGTCGCAGCATGAAATAGAAGATTAAGACTAAGTACATCAATACAAACAGCACGTCCTACTTGCCTGGCTCTGAGCCAAGGGCTGTGCACCTAACAGTCACTTGCTTTTTGGAGCAATTCTTGAAAGTGAGACTATTCTGCTCATTTGGAGGGAATGGGGAAACTGAGGCACGGAGAGGTGTGTCCAGTTGCCACATGGATTACCCAGCCAGTGCTCTCTCCCACTTAATGCTTCACTGGCTCCATCCCCTCTGAAGTCCCAGGCTTCATGAATGTTTTATCAACAGTTTAATATTAATGTTCATTAATAGATTCAACCTTAAATATTTTATTAACAGTTTTAACAGTAATGTGTTATTAATAGCTTTTTGGATGGAGAAACTGAGACTCACAGATGAAACTCAGCATTGGAATCTGGCCTGCCTGACCCTGGGTGGCCCCAATCCCTGCGGGGTGTAAAGGGCAGAGGCTGGAGGATGGGGGGACCCGGGGACCCCCATCCTCACTTTGTCCCTATGTGCTGCATGACCTGAGGAGGTGCCCAGCAGTCTCTGGTGCCCTAAGCACATCGCTTCATCCCCTCTCCCCCATTTGAGCATCTCTGCCTGGGCAAGCACTTTTCTCTTCTGCCACCAGAGGGCCCCAGGGAGACAGGATGCGGGTGCTGTGCCCATTTAAGGACAAACAGGCGAGAGAAATGACTTTCCTGTCTCCATGGAGTCTAGACAGGG